CTGTGGGAAAAGACAAGGCAACAAGAGTATGAGCAGGTGAAAAATAAAAAAAAAAGCAAACAAAAACAAAAAAGAGGAATACCCAGTGACTTTACCTACAAATCTTTATTCTTATCGCCTATTCTCTCTCTCTTTCATTCTCTCTCTCTCTCTCTTTTTTTTTTTCCTTCACTCTGTATTTCCCAGTCTGGTTTACATGCGTACATTGGAAGTAAACGCTGGTGGCGGTGTACTGCAGCGGCACTTTCTCCTCGCTGGTGAGACGTACACGATTGGCCGCAAAGAGTGCCGCATTTTACTGCCGAACGGAGATCCGTCCATCTCTCGACATCACGCCGATCTCACCGTCAAACCACAACAACATCATAATCATAACAACAGTAGTTACACCAGTAATGGGAATGATTCAGATGAGAATGATGTGGCCACTGCGGTGGATTTCGTGCTGCGTGATTGTTCCAAACACGGTACTTTTGTAAATCGCGAGCCACTCGGCCGCGACACGGTTTGTTTTTTATACCCGGATGATATTGTAAAGTTCGGCAAACGTGTTTCCGCCCGTGTGAGTGATACTGGTATGGTGTTATTATTGGCAGAGTCCCCATTCTTAAGTTCCAACGATCGTCAAATCCTGCGGGATGCGGCCTGGCGACTTGGGGCCTTTGTGGTCCGCGGCCCTGTTCCCTCGCCGGCCACTCTGCGTGGACAGGCCCAAGATGTGATTGCGCTTTTATACATTACACACGATGGGTATGAGATGACACCAGAGATACTACTCGCGATGGCCCAACAGTATTTTATCACCACAGCGGCGTATGTGCAGTCGTTGGTGGAGGCATTGCGAGAGAAGTGTGCATGCTCGCCGGCGGAGTTCCCAACACCAACGGTACCATTGCCAGCGAATATACACTTTCACAAGGATGAGTATACACCACCGGTGACAATATTTTATGAGCCGGGGGAGTTTCTTAGTCGTGGCTCCACCGGGGAGGCATCATCCTTGTTATTACGGCAATATACATTCCTCTTCTTGGATACGAGAGTACATGCAAAGTATGAGGCATTGCTGCAGATATGCGGGGCCACCGTTGTGCTCATCTCACCAGATAACGCCACCAAGTTTCATGCGCATTTACAAGATATATTTACCATCGCCCTAACGAGTGATGAGATGTTTGAATCCCTAGAAGCCGCATTAGCATTGGGAAAGGAACAACAGACAATTGACAATAGCCATACGAATAACGGTAATAACCAAAATGGGGGTAAGAAAAAAGAGAAATACCACACAATAACGAAGAATAATGAAAATGTGGAAGCAGCATATATAACATTATACAAGGCTGGTATTTGTGTGATTCCGGAGTTAAATGTACAACGAGCCATCTTTACTGGTAATGCATCAGAGATAAATGCAACCCCAACGGCTCGTTGTCTTATTTGTAGAGAAAAAACACCAAATACCCTAGCAACTGAAAAGGATACGGAGAAGAATGATTCCATGGTATTAAATCACACAGTACAGAGAGCAAAAGAAGATGTAAATATAAATGTACGCAAGAGAGAAATAGACAGCAGTAAGCCTTTGAGGGAAATTGAAAAGAATACAGATTCTCAGGCATTGAATGGTACGGCGGCACCATTAGAGAATGAGAAGTCTAATCGGGTAAAAGAGACAAGATATGAGGAACTCGTAAACCATCACCGAGAGAATGAAAAGAATGAAAAGAATGGCACATTAGGGAAGGAACCACGCGCCTCTGTGGGTTCATCTATACAACCTACCGTACACCATTCAAACAGCAGCACAGAGAGAAAAAGAGCAGAATCCATGAATGCCTCATCTTCACAGGAAAGAGAAGTACTCACAAGAACAGATACATGCCGTTCACTGGAAAGACGTCCAGTGGTGGTCCACGTCCCATCACAAATGACTGCGGACGGAATACCAATCTCAACACCAATCTCCATAACATCAGCAGGATCACCCATACGAAGACGGGTGATAGCCCACAAAGTGTCTACGTATACACCCCAAAGAGCCCACTCCGCACATTTGAGTAATTCTGAAGAGAATGAACCACAGCCGCGACCACCACACGAGGTGCCGCGGCCATCATCGCAGGTGTTAACATCTGCCGCAGTATCACGCACGTCCTCTCGTCTTCCATCTGTGGAGCCCGCTGCCACCACACATCTTGAAGTACTGCAGAGACAACAGAATCGTCGACAGCAGAGAAAGGCATTTGAGTCTGGAAACACCACTATCACTATCACTACCAACCCAACAACAACAACAACAACACCAACAACAACAATAATGAATACAGGACGAAATGCAGACTCCACACCATCAAGTATATTCCGGCGAGGCTCAACACCATCCATACAATACGGTGAGACCACACACCGCAGCAGAAGTAATGGTGCTCAGAAGCCGCGAGCCTCAAGTGTGGTGGATTCACAACAAGCACGTCAGCGTACACATTCACTTCTCAGTTATTACGGATATACCACACATTCCTCTCCACGAGATCCGCAACGACCGCAACTGTACACGAAATCAGCGTTAGGTTCATCCTCTGCCAGATACCGTCGCAATTCGACTGGTCGTAGCCCGTCTCCAGTGATGTCTTATAATAGGATGGGAAGCAAACCGTTAATATATGAAGCGGGGGAATCGACAACTGCAGGGCCTTCATCATCATTACATAGACAACAATTAGTCTCAGCTCGATCAAAGATGGAACGTAATTCCAGTGCTCGTGGTACGGATGGTATGATGAATAGTAATCCTAATTCTACAGAGGCTGTAGAGTACATACGAATGGATAAAGTTCTTGGTAGACAAGCGGCGGACTTCCTTCGCAAGTTTCTCGATATATTTGCTGTGGATGCAGAGAAGTCCTGCCGTCTATTGATGAAACAGGGTTATCTGGACGCTATGAGTAAAAAGTTTCTTGAGGGTGGAATGCAACGTGTGCAGGAATTCCTCACCTTTGTACAGAAAGCCCAGTTTGATATTCCCCCAATGTACAGTACAGAGACTACACGTCAGTATGTACATGAGGTGCGAAGGAAATCCCACTCAACACTGGATCGCATTAGATGCACATATGAAGCAGTGAAGGCAGAACTACCAGCGTTCCTTATTCAACAACAACAACAACAACAACAACAACAACAAGAGCATCAACAAAAGGTGCGTAGTGGGTCTGCAGTGGGGAGGCAGTCATCACTGCAGAGAATGTCTTCTGTAAATAGCAACCGGAGGTCATCATTTCTGTACGCTCACTGAGAGTGTAAATGGAGTAAAGAGTAGTTTGAAGAAAAAGAAGGTCTTGACGGGAGAGAGAGAGAGAGGGGGAGAGACTATAAAAGCAAAAAAAAAAAAAATGAGCTGCCGGTAGTCATTTACCTTTGAACGAAAGAAAAAAAAAAAAAGAATGAAGTATGAGTATAAGGAGTGAGAGAAAGGCTGTACGTGTATGTGAGTCTTCTACTCCATTAGTTGTTTTTTTTTTAGGTTTTTTTTTTTTTTCAGTTTTTAGTTTGCTATGCGTATATATATATATATGTTGCATTTATGTGTATTAAAAGTTATCCAAGTTTTTTTTATGTTTTTAAATTCTTTTCTTTTTTTGATTCTGTTTTCTTTACGTTTCTTTATTCATGTTATTGTTATTAGGCGCGAAACTCATTTCCTGGTATGATATGATGTACGGTTAACATTATTGTGTCATTATCTTTGCTTTGGTTCGGTTTATATATATATTTATCTGTGGATGGTGTTTATTGTTCATTTTGTAGGATAATACTGAATTTCTATTTGCCTGAATACCTTTACAGTATTTCTTACTGTCTTTTTTTTTTGTCTCCACATCAATATTTTCTTAGTTTGTATTGTATGTCTTTTTTCTTTCATGTTGTGCTTTCTTTCTGTGTGTTTGTGTGCGAAGAAAACAACAGTGATGATGTTCAGTGAGGCAGTCATTTTATTTTTCTGCTACATTTTTGTTTCTATTTTTATAATTGCTTCTTTTATTGTCAATATGTAATGAACGTAAGTGGGTGAGGGTGTTGTTCTTTTATTGCTCCTCTTTCTGTAGTCCTGCAGTCAACGGAGAATGATGGAAGGTCGAAGAAGGATAAAGTATAGAAAGAAGGAGCGAGGGAATTTCATGTACCAGTGGTAATTATATATAAAAGTCTGTCAATGAGTTTATTTTAGTTTTTTTTTTTTTTTCTGTTTCAATCTATGTTTTTTTTTTCTGTGTGTTAGTTCTCTACTGTTATCTATCAGGGTTTATATATATATATATGTATATGTGGATATATTCCCCCTTTTTTTTCTTGTTCGCTCTTCTTCTTTTCATTTTCAGCATTGTACGAGTAGGGATCCATATACATAGATCCATACCTCTATTCACAGTCTTTTCTATACCTGTGAGGAGATAAGAAGAAGGCAGAGATGACTGTAGTGATTCCCACCCCGGAGTACCGTGCAGTGGTAGAGAAGACTGTGCGGGTTGCGGCTATTTGTGTGCGGCCTGTGCACCGCGTTGGGGAAGTCCTGCGGGCCTTGCGTGGGTGTTTATACGATATGCGTGGTGTGCGTAATGTCTTGGATGGAGAGAGAAGAAAAGGTACAGTAACAACAACAACAACAGGTGAGAAGAAAGAGGGGGAGCCATACAAGTTGTTATTGTTGGATCCCGTAAGAGTACCCGTGTTATCTGACACTGCAGAAGAGGAGAATCATAATAATAATAATATTAATAATGTTAATAATAATGATAATGTGGATAATATAGGGATTGGTGTCCATACATCTCCTCTAGTGTGGGTAGATGTGAATGATATTTCACTTCCCTCTATTCTGCGAGATCGACTGCAGTCATTATCTAAATGTAAAGATTCCACTGCATCTTGTATACATGTTGCCATGACAACACACACTGTGCGACTAAATTACAAGAACTTTACAATGCCTGAACTGCTGCAGCGGATTCTTCCACCTAACACAGTTCCTCTGAGTGGGTTTGAACAGATTGGTCACATTGCACATGTGAACTTGTCTGCGGCGCACTTGCCCTATCAATCTACGATTGGCGCAGTGATATTAGACTGTAATCCCACTGTGGATGTTGTGGTGAACAAGATTGACAGTATCTCCAGTGTGTTTCGTGAGTTTAAGATGGAAATCATCGCGAGGCGTCAGAGGAATGATCAGAAAGAGAATCATACTACTAGTGATAATAATAATAATAATAATAATAATAATAATAATAATAATAATAATAATAATAATAATAATAATAATCAGCTGGGGGAGAAGAAGGAAACAAATGGAAAAACATCTCATGATGAAGAAGAAATACACCGTCTGTTGTTGGCAACGGTACGACAACACGGATGTGTATTTCGCGTCCCGTATGATCGTGTCTATTGGAACTCGCGACTCAGTCATGAACACATGCGTGTAGTGAACAAAATGCAGCGGGGTGATATTCTCTATGATGTAATGGCGGGTATTGGTCCTTTTGCAATTCCTGCAGCGGCTGCGGGAGTTACGGTGCATGCAAATGACTTGAATCCTACGGCGGTGGAGTATTTAAGAATAAATGCGGAGTTGAATCACATAAAGAAGGAGGAGTTTCATGTTTACAATATGGATGGCCGGGCGTTTATGAACACTATTCTTTACAGGGATGTAATGATGAATCAACATTCAGGTGGTTGTCGACATGTCACTATGAACTTGCCTGCCACTGCGGTGGAGTTTTTAGATGTTTTTACAAAGTCTCCATGGTCTCCATCCTTCACATCCTTTTCTTCCTCTTCATTAGCATTACCAGCAGAAGAAACAGAGAAGGAGGAATTAATGGAGAATCCAGATAGATGTGTATTATTTCATGTCTACTGTTTCTCAAAGAAGTCAGAGGACTTTGCGGGGGATGCCGTCCAACAAGTACAGCACTGGCTTGGATGTACACTCTCTGCAGAGAATATAGTGGAGGCTCATGTTGTGCGGGATGTGGCTCCAGTGAAACGAATGGTGTGTGTGAGCTTTACACTGCCAGAGGCGTTTTGGAAACGTCGACAGGCCGCTAGACTGGCAGAGCGAAAACGTGCACGTACAACCGATTGAAAACATATTTGTGTAATTGTTATGATTATGATTTTATGGTTTTGTATATATGTGTGTGTGTGGTTGGTTGTTTGTTTCCTTTTTTGGTTGGTAGGTTGGAACTCGTGTAAAGAAGGCAGTGAGTGGAATGCTTAATCAACGTTATATATATATATATTATCGTATTGTGAATAGTCTTTATTTCTAGTTTACATTGTAATGACTATTGATTGTTGCATTTCCTTGTTTTTGTTTTTTTTTCTTTAAACTCTCTCTCTCTCTTTTCTCCTTTATTTTTCTTCTTGTGTCTTTTGTTTTTCTTGGGGTGTCAAGCAAAGACTGGTGTAATCACGCTCAAATTTTTTAAGGAAAGAAAAAAAAAAAGGTAGACTTAAAGGTGGGAACTAAATATTTATATATAAGTGTACAGATAGATATATAAGTATATATTATTTCCGCTAAAGGGTAACCATATTTACAAAGGTAACAAACGCAAAAAAGAGAGATATTTTTGTATAAGTATATACATATATAGTATTTCCAAAATGACGGAGTTGCATGACGCTGCAGAGGTGGGTGATGTGCGTACACTGCATAGAATTAGTTGGAGAGGAAATGTTGATGTTAATGCTGTGGATGAAAAGGGCCGAACTGCCCTTCATATTGCCGCTGAGCACGGCCGTATGGGATTTATCGAGATGCTCTTACACACCTTTAAATCCGTAGATGTGACGATTTTGGATAAGAGTGGTAAAACTGCTGTGCAGCGTGCCCCACTGGAGCTGCGAAAAGAACTGACGTTACTTCTCTCCATTGCGGAGGCAAAGGCAATGGAACGGGATTCACGCCGTAAGAAGGAAGANGTTATATATATATATATATATATATATATATATATATATATATTATCGTATTGTGAATAGTCTTTATTTCTAGTTTACATTGTAATGACTATTGATTGTTGCATTTCCTTGTTGTTTTTTTTTTTTTTTCTTTGAAGTCTCTCTCTCTCTTTCCTCCTTTGTCTTTTCGGTGTATCTTTATTAATCGGGAATAACAATAATAACAATACGAATCACAACAGTATCAGAAGCAAAGGTTGTAGTGTAGGAAGTATTATTATTATTATTATTATTATTATTATTAAGGCATAGGGTGAACCTATCATCAAAAATGACAGAAGAGAACTTTGAGGATCTCTTCATATCTGACACAGAGCCAGAAGAATTATATGAAGAGCTTGGACCCATTGGTGTTGGAAACTACGGCTCTGTGATAAAAGCACGTAATCGACAAACACAAGAGATTGCAGCTATTAAACTTGTACTTCTTGTAGACAAGGATGAACGTGATTTTGTGCAGCGGGAGATTAGTATTTTAAAGAAATGTGTCCATCCCAATATTGTGCGTTACTATGGTGCCCACAAGTCTCTTAGTAAACTGTGGATTGTGATGGAGTACTGCGAGGGTGGATCTGTAGATATGGTGTATAAAGTACTTCGACAACCACTACCAGAACCCCTCATTGCATACGTCTGCCGTCAAGTATTACTTGGACTGCAGTATTTACATGCCAATAGAAAGATCCATCGTGATATTAAAGGTGGTAATATTCTTCTCACACGTGATGGGGATGTGAAATTGGCTGATTTTGGTGTTAGTACCGAACTCACTCACTCCCTCTCACGACGAAATACATTTGTTGGGACTTTACTGTGGATGTCGCCAGAGGCCATTCTTGAACTTGACTATGATGAGAAGGCCGATCTGTGGAGTTTAGGGATTACACTTATTGAGATGGCGGAGGGAGCTCCACCGTATTTAGATACACACCCCGCACGGGCACTCTTTATGATTCCAAAGGTGGATCCACCAACATTGCATGATAAAGAGCGTTGGTCACCGCAGATGGTACTCTTTCTAAAGCGGCTTCTCACTAAAGATCACAATATGCGACCAACAGCGGCGATGATGTTAAATGATCCGTTTGTACAACCAGAGAATATTGGCACAAAGGAACAAATGAAGGCTATTATTGATGAAGTATTGGCAAAGAAAGAGGCGATGGGACCACAACGATTACATGGAGATACAAACTCCAGTGCTACCTTTGTTGAACGCACATCCACAGAAAGTGATATGGAAGATGCTGGTAGTGTTGAAAGTGGCATGAGTGGAAGACACCCACCCGTATCCGCAAAGGTTCCTGTTAGTAATGCACCTACATCTATGGAGGCATTAGATGTGACAGGAACCCATCTCTTTTTCCACGATGGCACCTTACTTCCACTTCCATTGCTTTCTACACAAGAGATTGGATTTGATGAACTGAGTTTTGAGGGACAACGTGTTGGGCCGTTTGCAAAGCCGGTGCCGGATGCCGAATTCCTTCTCGTTCCACCAGAGCAGCGATCCGCACCGTGTCATGAGGGTGGACGTCTCGCACACACTATGCATGTTACCCAAAAACTTCAAGGAATGTTGTATTATCATAAACAATTACCGTTTTTTAGAGAATTAACGGATGCAGAGGCTGCAAGGTCAAAGGAACTACAACTAAAGTATGGTTCTCTCTTGAAAAGCATCTATCGTTTGTGAAACATACAATACTAAAGTATGGTTCTCTCTTGAAAAGCATCTATCGTTTGTGAAACATACAATACTATTATTATTATTATTATTATTCTTTTTGTTTTTGTTTGGCTTGGCTTGGCTTTCGCTCTTTTTTTTTGCCATAGAGGTTGTGTACATATACTCATATATATATATACATACAAACATAAATACTTATGTATGCATGTGTATTTAAACTATATTTGATGAATGGGCGAAAGGAATGAAACATGATAGAAGAGTGTCTGGCAAGTTTTCTTTTTTTTTCTTTTGTGTGTATGTGTGTATACAAATGTTTGCGTCAGTATAGGTGTATATATATATATATATAATCTCTTTTACACATCTCAACTTGTATGCCTTCACGTAAAAAAAAAAACAAAAAACGAATGGGAATTCAAGAACTTTATATTTTCTTATATTTTTCTTTATTTCTTTTTTTCTGTGTCTATGAAGATTGTGGAGGGTATTTACTTTCAATCCACTAGAAAGAGAGAGGGACTCAGTATCACAATATCAAAATCTCTCTCCCTTTCTCTCTATCTATCTATATATATATATATATATATATATATATATATATTCATGATGGCCGACGGGTCGCCTTCCACACTGCGCGAGGAGCTTCTCTCATTGGATGCCCAGCGGTTAACAATCGTGCAGGCGATGGAAGAGGCCATGGCGTTTCTCGACACCACACCTGTTGGAATGCATGCGCCTCTCGTCGACGAGGAGGGATTCCCGCGGGATGACTGCGATCTGTACGCCGTGCGAAAGGCCCGACACACTGTGAACTGCGGAAAGAATGATCTCAAGTCTATTGAAACCGCCATGCATGAGAAACTCGCCCTTCTACATGAAAAGAATCAAGAGGAGGCGAAACAGCAAATGCAGCAGGCGGGTAAGAAGTCTGAAGAAGACGAAAAGGACCAACAAGAGAAGAAGAGGAAAATAGAAGAAGAAGAACGAAAAAAACGTATTCGCGAGATATCCGGCAAAACTCCATTTGTGCGTGTAGTGTCTGTGGCGATGGGAAGTCCCGGTGCGGAGGCTGGTCTCACCGCGGGGGATCTCATTCTGCAGTACGGCAGTCTCGACGCCGCTGGGATCTCACTGCATGGATGGGAGGAAATGGGGCGGGTGACCTCCACACACGAGGGACAGATGTTAACAGTGTGGATACGCCGTGAAGAAGGGGAAGAACAGGGAGAAGAGAATGTAGTGAATGAGGCACGTGAACTGTTTATTGTGCCGCAGCGTTGGGCAGGTGGGGGACTTCTTGGCTGTGCGTTTGAGCCGTGTATACCGGATCCATCGGCATGAGTGTATGATTTATTATTTATTGTTTATTATTATTATTATTATTATTATTATTATTATTATTATTATTATTATTATTGTTTATTATTATTATTATTATTATTATTATTATTATTATTATTATTATTTGATGTTCTTTTCGTTCTCTCTGTATATACATATATGAGGGTACATTATTAATCGTACATGTTGACGGGTTATTTTTATTTTATTTTTTTTCTTTACTATTCTCTTCTTTCTTTTCCCTCCATCTGACACTTATGGGACTCTTGTATTGATTCCCTACCCATGTGTACACACACATACGCTTACGAAATAATTATAAAGGTGGGACTTCTTTTCAGTATAACGAAGAGTAGTGTGGGTTAAAAATAAGCAAACGACAAAACAAAAAAACAAACTAACAAAAGAATCGCTTGAAAAAATAAATTATATATATATATATATATATATTGTATGGTGTGAGAAATAGGTGCATCTGTAGTGTACTTTACTTTTCCCTTCATTGAATAAATGCTGCTAAACTCACATGTAGTTGCACTCTACGAACGACTTTCTGTTCTCTCCACTGCTGCGATACAACGTGAGGTGCAGGCGTTCCTTAATCTCCCAAGCAATAACAATAACAGTTCCCAACAAAAACAACAACAACAATTGCTAAATGATGTATGTGTATTGTTGGTGAAAAGCGGTGAATGGCGACGGGCCCTTACTGTGGCGAGTGCACTTCCACAACCACAGGCACTTACTCTTATCACCGCATTGGGATTAACAGAATCAAAGACACCACAAACACCGCCATTAACTGAGACTGCAAAGAGTATAAACACAACGGAACTCCATGAAATGTCAAATGAGGCATTACTGCGTTTGGGTTTCGCCCTACAGAGGCCACAGTCACAACATAAAGGTGACACCACAGGGAAACATCACACATATAATAATATGAATGTACAACAACAGCAACAAGAACTGTTTATGGAATTTCGACGGCGACGACGATATAAAGAGCTCATACAATGTGTAATGAATTGGAAATTTAAAGGTCTTATTCCATCAAGAAAAAAGATGAGTAAAGGCATTGACCTAAATGATGATTCTATTCGTATGGGATTGGATAATAATTACAGGGAATTGTCTAGCTCTTATACTACAACTGGTGTTGCGGCTTCCGAAACACCTTTTAACGCTGAAGAAGCCTTACGAGGACTCATCTTTAATGCCTCTTCTAGTAATCATTGGGTAGAGGCGTTGCGGGAGTGTCCGGCATTTTTTATCACTACACTTCGGGAACCAACAGCAGCATTGCAATTTCTTCGCAAGACGAGCGTTGAGACAGTGACACATTTCATTTTATTTATCTTAAGAGGTGGTAATGCTACTAATACGAATACTAGCTCTAATACTAATAATAATACTACTAATACTACTGCTAATGTGTTTTCACATCCACCGGTTCTGGCTCACGGTCTGTTGGAGCAGCGTGTCGCTTGGGACACAATCGCATCACTTCTTTTCGCATTGCGGCCACATTTGGAGCGGGAACGCAAAGTTGTGAAAGAAGATCTTTTACACGCAATGCTGAATGCGCTGCGAGAGGAGGCGGCAGTAATAATAACAACAACAACAAAAGATAATTCAAGTATAACCGCACGAGAACGTGTGAGAGCGGCGACGGCCGCTGCAAATGATACTCGTCGTCAATCCATTCAATCTGCTGTGGAAGGACTCTGTGTGTGTTTATCACAACGCAATGAGGCCCAGACTCGGTTTATTGGTCTCCCGCTCTTTACGGAGATTGCCCTCACACTGCGGGACTGCGGTATAGCTATTCCTAGCGCACTACTGCAGTGTATCTTTCTTTGTATTAGCGACGCCCAACGCTATCAAAGATGTGATCCATCTAATTCCCTTTCATCATCATCACTGCAGTGTTCAGCGGAACGAGAACTGCTTATGAATATTCTAAGCGACGCCCCCGCCGATCGGTGGGTCCCAGGGCTGCAGTTATTGCAATTGTGTAGTGCGAAGGAGGACTTTGTGGTCTCCGATGCCCATCTTCGCTGTGTCTTGAGTGGACTGCAAAGTATCTCCATTACTCGCATGTGGGAAGCGGCACTCAACACGGCACAATTCATCATGACGGAATATCATGTCTTTCCGGATGAGTCATCAGTGGAAAAACTCATGTTGAACCTTCACGCCGCATCGTGGGAACGTGCCTTTGAGGTGGTGAAACTATATGAGAAAAAACACATTGCAGTCCCCTCACAGACTCTACGTGATTTGCAAGTAGTTGCAATGAAGCACAGCTCATGGGATGTAGTACTAAACTTAATGCAGCAGATTGAAGAGTCTGGAAAACAACAAGCTGGTTTTATGAATTATATCTATTGTTTGCGAGCCTATGGCTGTGCTGGGAAATGGAAGGAGGCTGCAACGCTTTTTAAACATATGAAGAATGTGCAGGGTGTTGATGAACACTCTGTATATAATGAGGTGACTGTTGCTGTCCCTGTTCTTGGTATGATGGACCGTCAAAAGTGGGAATGTGTTTTGTTTTTTGTGAGGGAAATATGCCGCCAGTGCGGTGATGAACTCACGAAAGAAGGCCGAGAGGTGACTCTGGCATCTGTTTTACTTTCATTTGTGCATATGGGGAACACCGTAGGTGTGGCATCCTTCTTAAACACATACAGTGGAGACAAGAGTAAACTCCCCAAGTCTTCTTCTTCCTCTTCCTCTTCCTCTTCCTCTGCTGCAGATATCTACACTCTGGAGGATATTGTACAGTTGCAATTCCCACCCGCTTCTGTTGAGGAACTCCGTGAGATTGTGGAAAGAGCGGCACAGCTGCAGACACTGCTTGGCATGGAACATCTAAACGCACCCATTCGTTTAGTCTTTGATCTCCTCGCTACTGAACAACACCGTCGCCATCACCAGGCGGAACATATCGGGCATACCGTGCGAAATAGTACAGTGCGGCCGTCCATGTATGTACCGCCGCAACACGTGCAGGCGCAGCAGGAGCGACTGGCGACGGCATTGGGAGAATTCGTGCGGCGTGATGAGAATCTCTTCAGCGGGGCTGCACAACAGGCAGTGGCAGAGGCAATGTCGAAGATTGGCGCAGGACCGGCGTACTTGAAGGCTGCGCTATTCTAAATACATTTGGATGGGGCGGCAGAGAGAGAGAGAGAGAGAGAGAGAGAAGGTAAAGAAGAGGGGATGGAAAAGGGTAAAGACAAATAAAACAAACAAACAGAAATGATTGGGTAAAGATGTGGAAATGGTATATTCTTCTGCTCTTTTTCTTTCTCTGAGTGTAAGAGAAAGGGGGGAAGAGAGAAGCTTTACTGTAATCTTTTTTTTTTTTGTTGTTGTTTGTTCTGCTAACTTTCATGATATTTTTCTTCATTTGTGTTTTTTTTTTTCTCTCTCTCGTGGGGTGTCAAACGCAGACGGGTGTAATCACTCTCAAATATTTTAAGGGAGGAAAGAAAGGTAGACTTGACGGTAGGAATAAATAAATAAATAAATATATATATATATATACATATACATTATTTCCAACATGACCGAGTTGCATGCCGCTGCAGAGGTGGGTGATGTACGTGCATTGCATAGAATTAGTTGGAGAGGAAATGTTGATGTTAATGCTGTGGATGAAAAGGGCCGAACTGCCCTTCATATTGCCGCTGAGCACGGTCGTATGGGATTTATTGAGATGCTTTTATACACCTTTAAATCCGTAGATGTGACGATTGTGGATAAGAGTGGCAAAACTGCTGTGCAGTGTGCCCCACTGGAGCTGCGAAAAGAACTGACGTTACTTCTCTCCATTGCGGAGGCAAAGGCAATGGAACGGGATTCACGCCGTAAGAAGGAAGAGAAGGAGGCGGAAAAACGTTTGTTTGACGAAAACGATGTGGAGAGTGCAGAGATGGTGAACCCACGGGTGATGCGGAAGTTAGTGGTGTGTCTTGTGCTACCTCTAATTATTCTTATATTCATCAACGGTGTGGTGTTTGCGCTGGAGTATATTACCATCACCCTCGCCTTCTATTTCGTGGCGCTGGGCTATTTTGTTTCTGAGATCGCCACGCGGCCGCCGTGGTATCACCACCGGCCAAAGGCCACACATCTCACTACACACAACTGCCCAGAGTACTGGTGCGGTAGTATACACGATCCACGCACAGACCACGGCCTCAACTACGAGGATGTATCGTTTACATCTACAGATCATTACACCTTGCGTGGATGGTATGTACCACCACCAGCGGAAAAGGCGCGGAAGATGGGTATTGTGCTTCTGCACGGCGGTGGCAGAGATAGACGGGCGTGGCTGCGGCATCTGCCAATGCTGCATAAGGCAGGATATGGATGTTTGTTGTTTGATTTCAGAGAACATGGATTAAGTGATGGGAATATGCGTGGATTCACGTACGGTATGAAAGAGCGCTTTGATGTGGTGGCGGCCTGTGAGTTCATGCGGTCTACATACAAGTATGAGCGTATCTGTGTGATGGGAACTAGTGTGGGTGGTTCCTCTGCTATTATGGCTGCGGCTATTGACAAGACTATAGATGTGGTGATTGCCGAGAATCCATTGGTGACCTGTGCGACATTGCAGGATCAGAAACTTGTAGATTACGTCGGTGGTTATTTCTCACGACGTTCGTATAGTCGATTCTTTCTTAACCTTTTTCGTCATACCTCTTCTTTTTGGTTGAACTTACGCATAGGCAACAAACCGTCTAAACACTGTCAGGCACTGCACTGCATAGACAAAGTTGCACCTAGACCTGTTTTGCTTATGCACGGTACGGCGGATGATTTGGTGCCCTGTCGTCATTCATTACAACTTTACGAGGCAGCAGGAGAACCAAAGGAGTTGTATATGTCAAAGGATGCCTTTCACTGTGGTTTGTACGATATAAATCCAGAGGAATTTAAACGGCGTGTTCTTGACTTCCTTCATAAATATGGAGGAGAAGAGTGATGTATTGAAAAAAAAAAAAAAGAATTAATGAGGAGTGAATGAAGTAGCAGCGAAATGTAGTTTTTCTGTAGAGATACAGAAATATATATATATATATTATATGGATAGATATAATTAGTGTTTTATTGTTGTTATTCCAATCGAGTGGGGTTTTTTTTTTTGTTTCTTTTTTCCTCTTATATTTCTTTTCCTTGTCTTTATTTTTTTTATTTTGTTTTTGGTGTCACTGAGTATTATTATTATTATTATATTATCGAATGTTTTTTCCATCTCTTTTCATATTTGTATGTGTACAGAGTTTTTTCTGTGGTTTTGTTGGCCTTATTCGTTCTCTTTAAAAAGTGAAGGGGAATGAGGGATAATAAAACAGAAAAAAGGAATGATGTCCCTTGATTAATGTGTCATTGTATCTTCCTTATTGATATAAATATCCTTCTGTTTAATACCCGTTGTCCTTATTGTTGTTGCTGCCAATAACCATTGTGAGAAGAGAAGGATAAATAAGGAATATAAGAAGAAGTTAAACTATAAATTTATGTTTTCTTTTTTTCCTATTTTTTTTTTTTTTTTCATCGTTCACGACTCGGTTCTCTTTTACTTAAAAAAAAAAAAAGTAAAGAGTGTAGTTTTGTGAGTAGAGCACAGCACCTCCATCACACCCACACCCATACATATATATATATATATATATATATATATATATATATATAGAGAGAGAGAGAGAGAGAGAGAAAGAAAGAGATAAATAGAAGGAGCACAACAATAAACCCAAGCGGGAATATTCTATTCACACAATGGAGGTGAATGGCACTGTAGTGGAATGCCGGCGGGCCGACACGGATGCCGTTGTGTTCCGCTTTCTCATACTTGATGCCCCATCGCCCAGCAGCGTGCCAACATACGTGAAGTTACTGCAGCGCCACAACGTCACGCACATGGTGCGGGCCTGTGGGCCAACGTACAACGCCGAGGCCTTCGCCGCCCACGGGGTGCAAGTGCATGGATGGACATTTGACGACGGCGCCCCGCCCACGCAGGCGGTGATTGACAATTGGCTCCAACTGCTCGAGCAGCTGCAGGATAAATCCCCGCCAGTTACGATTGCGGTTCACTGCGTGGCGGGACTCGGCCGGGCGCCTATTCTTGTGGCCCTCGCGCTGGTGGAGTACGGCGGGATGCCGGCGCTGGATGCGGTGGGATATGTGCGGGAGCGGCGTAAAGGGGCGATCAATCAAGTGCAGTTGAATTGGCTGATGCGATATAAACCGCGGCATGAACAAAGAAGTGAGGGGGCTATAGCGTGTGCAAACTGTGCGTTGATGTGATGAACAAGTGGAATAGTGTGTGTATGAGAGAGAGAGAGTGAGAGAGGAATAAGAATAGTCTGTGTTTATACTTTTGTATATATATATATATATATATATATATATATAGTCTCTCTGTGTATATCTGTATATGTGTGTAGGAAAGAGGGGAGGGGGTGGCATTGCTATTAATCAGAGTTGCGTTGAAATAATAGTGCTACTGATAGAGAGAGAGTGTGTGTAAATAATATATTAAAGATATTTGTTTCACACACTTACACAGAGAGAGAGACCCCTTCTTTCTTGCCATTTTTTTTTTCTCTTTTTCTTTTGTGTACATTAACGTATTTAATAATACAAGAGAAAGAAATGATGGAAAGAGGCAACTAAGGAAAAGGAAAAAGAAAAAAAAATATATATTCTTCTGTTGAGGGAATAAAGGGTGTATATGATCTTGCTCCTGTTGTAGATGTGTAGGTGGAGCAACTGTAACTTTAAAGTGTGAGAGTGATCGAAAAAAGAAAAAAAAAAAGACAAGTACCGAAAGGGACTTTCTTCTACTTTTCCTTTTTCTTTGCATCTATATTACCCATCTTCCTACACATCAAATAGTTCGTTCGTCGCTTTTTTTTTTCGTTATTGTATAATGTATGTTTCTGCACGTAGTGTTTACTAACTTGGTATACACCTTATTACCGATGTTAACGTGCCTGCGACACTACTTCGACGATAACACTGCTAATGTTCGTTTATTTATTTTCTTTTTCTTCTTTTCTTCTTTGTATGTTTTCTACGATTACGATGATGATGATGTTGTTATCTCCCTGTAAATTCTATTAATTCCATCTCGTTTTTTTATTTTTATTTTCTCTCTTGCTGCACATTGTACACAAACACACACAGACAAAAAAAAAAAGAAAAAGAAGGAGAAAAAAAAAAAAAAAACGAAACCACAACAATAACAATCATACACGACCCCTGTATAGAGGGGCATTAACATTAACATTTATCATTCACTCTTCTCTCTTTCTTTCTCTTTCTCTTTCTTTCTTTCTGATTGTGTAGGTGTATTTGTTGATTGCGGCTAATGTCATCTGTGAGCAGTGATGAGGAAGAGGTGGAGTACAGAGGGCCATACCGTCCAGATATGGCGAAGGTGAAGGCGAAGCTGCGCAATTTGCCCACACTGGAGCGCCTGCTGGCGGAGAAGGATCCGAATGAATACACAGAGGAACAAATGAACACCGCCCTCACATTTATTAACGCTATTGCCGAAACACAACCAACAACGGTGGAGCAGATTGAACAGCAGCTGCGGAAACTTATGAAAAAACACCGCGCTGTTGTGAAGAAATCACTTTTACTCGCAGCTTACAGAAAGTGGTTATTGGAAGAAGAGAATAGGAACGGCAGTGCGGTTCTCGAGCGGTACTTTGTCTCCAAGGCCCCACGCAGTCAATCGGGTGTACTTGTCGTGACGGTCTTCACCTCTGCCTATCCAGAAGGGCAGAAGTTCAGTTGTAAGTGGAATTGTTACTATTGCCCTAATGAACCGGGACAACCACGCAGTTATTTATTGAACGAACCCGGTGTGCGTCGTGCGAATCGATTGGAGTTTGATCCCTATAGGCAATTTCAAGATCGTGTGAAGTCACTTGTGGCGATTGGCCATCCAGCTGATAAGGTGGAGTTGCTTGTGTTGGGTGGTACATGGGAAAGTTACCCACTCTCATATCGTGAATCCTTTATCCGCGATCTCTTCTACGCCGCAAATACACTGTATGATGATCCTAACGGTGATGATAATAATAATAATAGTGATGTTGGAAATTATAATAATCATAATCATAATGACAACTGTATGGCACGAAGAGGACACATACGACCACCACTGGATTTGCAGCAAGAGCAGTTACTGAACGAGACGGCGAAGTGTAAAATCATTGGTGTTACTCTGGAAACACGCCCAGATACAGTGAATGAGGAAATGTTAACACAATTACGTCGTTTTGGTTGCACCCGTGTACAACTTGGTGTACAACACACAGATAATGCTGTACTTTTGGCTGTGAATAGACAGTCTACACGTGAAGATGCGGTTCGAGCTATTAAACTTTTAAAAGATAGCTGTTTTAAGGTTGATATTCATCTGATGCCAGATCTTCCAGGATCTACACCAGAGAATGATAAGGTGATGTTTGATGACGTTCTTTACTCACCTGATATGCAAGCAGATCAGTGGAAGATTTACCCTTGTCAAACAACACCCTTTACTGTAATTGAGCAATGGTTTAAGGAAGGTAAGTATCAACCATATGGTTTGGAAAACTTAATGGATGTCATATTATATGCAAAACGCCGTGTTCAACCATGGGTTCGGCTTAATCGTGTTATTCGTGATATTCCACATGATTATATTCTTGGTGGAGTGGAAGTTTCTAATCTTCGCCAGTTGCTTGGGATGCGTCTCCAGGAAGAGGGATCACAGTGTCAGTGTATTCGCTGCCGTGAGGTTAAGGGAGATGTGGAGGCGGCAGCTAAACTTCAAGGGGCAATATTAGTAGAACGTCGGTACTCGGCAAGTGAAGGAGAAGAGATATTTATCTCATACGAAACGGAAGATAAAAAGACGTTATTTGGTTTTCTTCGATTGCGTCTCCACATTAAGAATTGGATTACACCATTTGAAGAACTACGACCATGTGCGTTAATTCGTGAACTCCACGTGTATGGTTCTCTCGTCCCCACACATAAAGAGGCGGATGCGGCGAAGGCACAACACCGTGGAGTGGGCACATTATTATTACAACGAGCGGAGAGTATTGCCCGTGCGGAAGGGTATGATAAGATTGCTGTGATTAGTGGTGTTGGTGTACGGAACTATTACCGCCGGAAAGGGTATGTAATGGCGGTAACAACACCCGCAAGTTACGGAGCCTTTCTCATAAAGGAATTGCAGGAAAGTAAAGATCATAACACACATGAGGAAGGTGGAGCGTGTATGAACATGAATGGAAACCAAGCAAATGCCCCCACTACCGCCATAAAAACAACAACAACAACAGTAACACCAATAACTACGGATAATAATAATAATAATAATAATAATAATAATAATAATAATAATAATAATAATAATAATAATAATAATGGAATTAGTAATTGTAGTATGAGTAATAGTAATAGTTCTGGTGATGGTGTTGATGGTGTTGGTGAGACAGCGGCCAATACGGGTGGCTGGTGGAAGCGTATCACTCAGTTTTGGGGACGGTGGAAACGTCCACGTGATGAGGAGTAAAGAAGAAGAAAAAAAAAGAAAAAAGACGAGGAAGAATGATGATGTCTGTGAATAATTCTTTTTCTTCTTATGAGTGAATGCAATGAACTCAAGAGCGTCTCTATTTATTGACACAAACGAATATACTTATTACAGTAAAATGGTATACCCTTTAAAAGAAATATATATTTCATGTGACTCCTATCTATAGAAAGATATGTACAGAGTGACGTTTTACATTAACAATAGAAAAACCAATGATAACGAAAAGTAAAAAAAAAAAACACGTTTACCTTTGCTCCACTATGACTCTAATTCTACTCTACTAAACAAAAAAAAAAGGAAATTAGTTCTTTTTTACTGTTAGAAAAGGTTTTCAGGCTGTAGTACACAACCTGCACATCTTTTTTCCCCCGGTAGAGCCTAACTCTATCCCGCTCTCTCTCTCCGTCACGCACATCCATCCATACATAGATACAAAGGATCTTGGGGCGTTATTCCATATTGTCTACGTCTTACACCTCCTCCTGACTGCGTATATATATAAATAAATAAATATATATTCACCCAGCAGGCACGGTCAAAAAATCAAAAAAAAAATCAGTCGTGTTACACTTCTATACCACTGAAAAAAAAGGGAGACTCTTGTAAAAAGTAAACCACAAAAGTAACATCAAAAAACAAACAAACAAACAAAAATGGACGTAAACTGCACTGTGATTGATTGTCCAGACCGCAAGAAGCCGACACGCACACTCTTCCATCTCCTCATACTTGATGCCCCAACGCCCAGCAATCTTCCCATGTACGTGAAGGCACTGCAGCGTCGACAGGTGCGTCATCTTGTGCGGGTGTGCGGCCCAACCTACGACGCGGCGCTTGTGGAGAAGAGTGGGATTGATGTTCACAGTTGGCCCTTCGACGATGGTGCCCCGCCGCCAAAGACAGTACTGGAGAGTTGGTTCCACCTGCTGGATGCGGCAAAGGTGCAGCTCGACAGCGGCGTGGCGACGGAGCCCACTTCTATTGCTATTCACTGTGTGGCGGGACTCGGCCGGGCGCCTATTCTTGTGGCAGTGGCACTGGTGGAGTACGGCGGGATGTCCGCACTGGATGCGATTGCCCTCATTCGAGAGAAGCGGCGTGGGGCGATCAATCAGACACAATTGCATTGGTTGATGAAGTACAAGAGACGGGAAGAAAATGGTGGGAATTGCAGTGTTATGTAAAGATCTCTGGAAAAGGAAGCAATAAATATGTTTTTTTTTTGTTATATCGGTTTTTACTATTATTGATGATAAAGAGATTATTCATTTGTTTTTTTTTTTCTTCATTTTTTTACTCTTATAATAAACATACATGTAGAAAGTGCATTCCAGTTTTTGTTATGATTTTCATTCTTTTCTTTTGCTTTTTTTTTTTTTTTCTTGGTCTATTATTATCATCTTGCTCCTATGTATGCCACAGAGGGTCTTTTCATAGAGTGAGGTGTTTGGAGTTGTGTACGAGTATGCTTCAAAGGAAAGAGGGTTTTTGAGGCTTATGGGAGGTGAGAGGAAAAAAAAAGAGTAAATATTAATACTAATAACGAAACCAGGTCTATCCTCCAATTATCTATGGGAAAGAAAGAAAGAAAGAAAAAAAAAGGAGAAAAAATATGATCTCTCTCTTTTTTCTTTTAAAGGTGTAGTGCACTTCTTCTCTTGTAGTAGCACAATAACCAAAAACGAAAGAAAAAAAAACAAAAGAATTGAAGAGCAAAAAATAAAAAGAAAAAAATGGATGTCGCGGTGTGAATGGAACATGAGAAGTTGATTCTTAACTGGACCTAGCGAACACAATAATTTGTATCAAATAATACATTTACGCAGTAATCTATGCGTTTTTTTTTTCTTTTTCTTACAAAACAACGACAAAAAAAATCGAACGAAGCCAAAAAAATGAAGCAAAAACCTCTGTTGGGTTATGGATTATTATTATTATTATTATTATTATTATTATTATTATTATTATTATTATTTTCATTTGTTTTATTGCCGTAATCAAATGGATATCCTTTCCTTGTGGCTTCTGTGGTTCCTTGATAATGAACATTACCTCTTCATCCCTTTTTCTTTATTATTATTATTATTTAGATTTCTTACTATCATCAATGACAGTCCATGGAGGCCGAGGTGCGGCGTCCGCGTCTCTTGTCATCAGAAAACAACGAACTGGTGAAGTGTTGCTTGAAGTAACAGTTCCGTCTTATTCTCCTTCTTCTTCCTCCTCACGTGTGCCCAGCACTGCAGAGGGAAAAGAGTCTAGTTTATTCAGCGACGCATTCACTTTTATTGCGGAGGCACAAGCGAAAACTTATGATTTTTTTGGCCGCAATATGGTGAAGGAGTCAGGAACAATCTCAACAGCAGATACCACCGTGACTCGGGCTAGAAGAGAAAATTACGTGGATGCAATGATGTCGTGTGATGCACCCAGCAGCAGTTTCTTGGACTCTGCAGAGTGGGAAGGCGATGGTACAAATGACAAGAGTGTTTCTTCAGGAGAAGGAAATGCAGATGAAGAGAATGGCGATTATGGTAGCGAATTCTATTCCTCCACTACACCACATAGTCATGAGGTGGATCCACCCGCTAAAAGGCCACGCAAGTAAAAAAACACAGGAAATACATGGTAAAGAGAAACAAAAAAAGGAATGGAGAGTTAGAGGAATCATATATATTTTTCTTTGTTTTCCTGGCTGTGGGGAGGTGTGTGTTTGTGTTTGTGTGTGTGTGTGTGTGTGTGGAACCTATACGTGGTACCGATATGCTGTTTTAAGTATAATCAATTCCTCATCCGTATTTTTTTTTTATATTGTTTTATTTAAATATATTCAATCCCTTTTTTTGTTATCGTGTATAATGTTGTTATCTTTGTTATTGTTTTTTTTTTTTTTTGTTTGTTTACATATTATTTCTACTTGTACTATTAGGAGCTTCTGTATCTCCCTCTCTGGAAGGGAAATGACGGAAGAGTACCTCCAAACATTTGCCGCCGGTACAGTCTCTGGTGTAGTTGGAGTACTGCTTGAATACCCACTTGACACCATCAAAGTCCGCTTGCAAGCATACACTTCACGGTATAATGGTTACTGGGACTGTGCTGTGAAACTCATGAGAGAGGAAGGGATTCGTTCTTTTTACCATGGAGTCTCCACTCGTTTCGTTGGATCTGGCTTTGAGCACGCTGTTGTGTTTTCCTTTTATAAATGGACGCTTCGACTGGTAGGTGCGGATGAATACCATCCACTAGCGTGGCAGATTATCCTTGGTGGTGTAGGCGGTGGTGTGGCCTCCACAACGTTCCTCACACCACTAGAACTTGTCAAGTGTCATCTGCAGGTTGCGAATATGCTTCCCGTGCAGCAGCGGGAGTACAATGGTGTTATGGACTGCCTTGTGAAGATCGCCCGCCGCGATGGAGTGGCGGGTTTGTATAAAGGCGGTGTGGCCATGCTCGCCCGCGAGGTGCCTGGCACTGCCGCCTACTGTGGCACTTACGATAAGACCAAAGAGTTTCTCACACCGCCGGGCAGTACGACTGCGGAGTTATCACCATGGCGTCTGATGATTGCTGGTGGCTGCAGCGGTGTGGCCTTTTGGACGGTGTTTTTCCCAGCAGATGTGGTGAAGACACGCCTGCAGGTGGATTCAACATTTACACCGGGGAGTTTCATGGCGGGACTGCGGTTACTATACGCAGAAGGTGGTGTGCGGGCACTTTATTGCGGGTGGGCACTCACCGCCGCCCGTGCCTTTCCATCAAATGCGGCGATATTTGCTACATATGATCTTTGCATGCGGTCGATGCGAAAACAACAACAACATCAACAAACCCCACCATTATCATCTGCTAGTGGAACTGTTTAAACACATCTGTTCTTCAGATGTGTTGTGATCTCTTATATCTGTGTTCATCCTTCTCAAGATGATAATGGGGGTGGAGGAAGGAGTGCAATGTGTGTGTGAGGGGGGAAGGGATCTTTTTCCTTATCTCTTTCTCTCTCTCGCCTTAACCTACCCACATATACGGAGAGGTATTGTATATATATTTGGTTTTTTTTTTTTTTTTTTGCTTTCTCTCTTTCTGGGGTATATTTTCTTTTATTCTTACTGTTGTTTCCTTTTTTGTTTCAGTATTTTTCTTCTCTTGTTTCAGCATAAAAAGAGAAATCAGAGAAGATAAACTGTGAACATAGATGGGTGTTAAACGCAGTAGGTCGCAGCAGACTGCATTGAATGAACGTCGAAAAAGAGGAACATGCATAAAGAAAGGATTGGACGAGTTGGGTGATTTGGATGTAGCTCAGAATCCCAAAAATGAAAAGACTACTTCCACTAGTACTACTACTACTAGTAGTGGTCCTACCAAACTACTGAAAGATGCAGTAACGATAGACACGGAAAATAATGTTGTTTCTCATTCCACACCCTCTTCTTCCTCCTGTTCCCCAGCAGCGAGTGTGTTCGGTCATGGTTGGGAAGAGTGGCGCCATGTGAAACAATTACTATTTCATTCCGATGATAATAAGAGTATCACACAAACCAGACGAAGCGCATTGGATCGTATTCAAAAAGTATGGCAGGCACGAGGCCGCAAACACCGCCCATTCCCCGCCTATGTGGAATCCACCGCGCTGCTGCTAGAGGCCGTATCACTGGATGAAGAGGACAAACTCTCCTCATCGGCTGCCGTCGTATTTTACGGTGCGGCCATATCACGTGCGGTGCATCTCATGACAGGCACATTTGCACGAGGTGAGGACGACACGTACCGCAAACGTGCGCGGGCGATTGGATTCCCCGAAGAGGCGGTGGAAGTACGGCAGCGTGTGGCCCACGGCGCCCTACCGCTTCTCTCGGAACTGCGTTGGGTCTGCGGATTGGTGCTGCAATTCCTTTTTCAGCATTACTGGGTGGAACAGGAGCGTCATGTACGTTTAATGGAAGAAGAAGAAGAAGAAGAGGAAGAAGAAGAAGAGCATAAAAATGAGAAGGGATTGAATACAAGTGCGTTGCAGCAAAGAGAATATGTTCCCACTTCAACTGTGGAGGAAATGCAGCATCTTCTCGAGGAGCTAGGCAGCTCAAGTGAAGAGGACCAAAGTGAGACTGATGAGAGAGATAGTGGTAATGCACAGAATCCTGCAGAAATAGTACAGGATGGTTGGAAACTCTTATGATTGAAGGTGTAAGAAGAAGAAAATGAGAATGATGATGATGATGGTGAGTGAGTGTGTGTGTGAAGGTAAAGATGAAAGTGAGGAGAGCGAATAATATATCTAACTGACAATGTCGCAACTATTAGGTTATTTTCCTGCGCACACTGCGCATCTAAAAGGATGAGAAAAGATACACAGGGTATGTATGTTTTTTATCAGTGTTTTCGTGATTGTATATTGAATATGTTTTTTTTTTTTTTTTTCTTCTTCTTTCTCTCCCTCTTTTTATGGTTTAAATTCTTGTTTTTAGCGGGAAAGCGAGCGACGTGGTTAAAGCACCACACGTGAAAAGAAGAAGGAAACGAAAAAAAAAATAATTAAAAAACGAAAAAGCTTGTAGGGGTATCAGTAACGGCTCTTCTTGATGGAACTTGTGGCTGAGTTACCCGACCGTCTCTTGACAGGGTTAGCACTAGATCCACACGATAATGTGTTTGCCATCTGCGCGTGCAGTGGTGAGCTCTTTCGCTTTCATAAGGAGAGTAACAGTATGCTTCCAATCATGTCTACAGAGGCTTCACCACACGATATCGCTATTGACCCGCAGACCGGTGATGTATACATCACTGATCGCACTGAGAATGCCATTCTCAAGTTAGAACCATCCGAAACCAACGGGGAGGATGAAACGAAGGAAGAGAAACAGGAAGAAGAAGAAAATGGTGTCGGGTATACTATTGTACGCTATCTAAACAGTTTTGAGGGAAAACCATTTATTGGCCCCACAGCATTGGCGTTTGCACCTGATGGTGAGTTGTTCTTTACAGACGCCGGAGCGGAGGGTGACTCATCCTTTGCTGATCCATTAGGCGCGGTGTACAGAACACTACAAGGCCGTAGTCAGGTTGTTCCACTTTGTGCACGCGGACTAATTCGTCCATCAAGTATCGCTATTGCACGTGATAATAATGTGTACGTCTGTGAACAGGGATCCAATCGCGTTTTACGCTTTGTACGACGAGGGACGTATTATGTAGGGAATGTCTTTGCCCAATTGCAGGGCGGTATGGGTCCAACAGCTATCACTGTTAGTCCACGTGATAATACGGTTTTCGTCGCCCAGTATGATACTGTGGCTGTGAAAGTGCCTTCCAGTGGTGCTGTTGTTGATGGATCTACAGAGACGGAGAAGGGTCTTATAACGGTATTTGGGAGAGATGGTGAGGTGAAGGGTGTTGTGCGTACACCAAGTACGTGTCTTCGTGCGATTAAATTAGACGCTCGAGGAGAAACGCTCTACGCATTAGAGGCGAATGAGGCGACTGGGTGTTCAAAGTTATATATGTTTCAGTTGCCACCTGTAATGCAACAAGAAGAAGAAAAAGAATGAAGATCTCTCATCACAAATATCAGATCTTCTTTCATTAATGTATATCAAGAGAGAACAAAAAAAAGAAAAAGAAAACAAATATCTGACCGAATGTAGGGTTAGAAAACGTTCAAGTTTATATGTAAGGAATCTTATAAAGAGGTTTTCCCCCAAAACCGATATCACTTGAGTTTTTTGGTTTCTTATGAACTCGTTTATATATATATATATTTTTTTTTATTTCTCTTTTTCTTTTTATTGGTTGTGAACAAGTAGTGGAAACTTCAATGAGAAGACAGGATGGTGTGAATGCGAAGCAGCATCGTAATTCGAACTCTCGTAAAGGTAGTGTTCTCGGCTGCAGAAGTAATCAAAATCCACATAACAGGACTGAGCGTAACAGAACGCATGTAAGGCAGCCAACCATTGTACAGGATGATACTGTTCCGGCTGCATTTATTTCACCTTTTCAAGCATCTTTACCACAGCGAGGATTGCATTCGGCATCTGTAGTGAGAGCCTCTGTGTCTGGTCCTCAACAGGAACAAATGCTGTTTTACTCTAGTGTACAGCGTCGCGGTGGGTCCTTTACAAAGACTGCTCAAGAGACAAAAATACAACTTGCGAAAACGGGAGTACTTCCGAACTCAACCGCGTTCCGCAAGAGAGCACGAGCTGCGATGGAAGGAGAGAATGGAAAGCCCAAGACTTTGCAAGACCGTTTTGCGGATATGCAGTCGGCGAAGGCAGAAGAAGAAGTACAACAGGCGAAGACACTTGTAACCAATAAAAGTGGTTCAAATCGATTCTCCTGTGATGATGATGATGATGATTCAGATAATGTATGAGCCTCTGGATTTGTTGCTAATTGTTAATATTGTTGGTGTCGTTATTGTTGTTGTCTTGATTTTTTCCCTTAGGGGTTATAAAAAAAAAAAATAATAATGATACGTAAGATATGAGAGTTTTATTGACCTTATTGCTGCTAGTTCTTGTGTTTTTTTTTTTTTTTTTTGTATTTTTTCTTTAATTCTCTTTCTTCCTTTTTTTTCTCTTTTCCATCTTCTTTCACTTTTTCTGTCTAGTAAGGTAGGCGTTGTGTGTTAGGGATCGCATATATACACACACTTAGGGAATAACTTTTTCCCCCTCCTTTCCCTTGTGCTATTTTTGGTTTGCTTGGAACACCATATTTTCTTCATAGCTATATTGACGTTAGAGCAGCGGAGTTGACATTGTTGGTGAGTTTTCGTCTATAAACTCATCTCAAGGTGTCTATTTAGCCAAGGCCTCCGCTGCCCTCTCTTTTTTTTTTTTTTTTGTTTTCTTTTTCTTTTCTTTTACATATTTGGAAACATACATATTTATAATTGCACAAATATACATATATACTTTTAAACATATACATATATACTTTTATATACATACATATATACTTTTATACATATACATACATACATTTTTTTTTTTGTACGGATCGATCTACTATATTCTCTTATACGAAGAGAAAAAAGAGAGAGAGATGATACATAATGAACCGTCTACCACGACGGCTTCCAATGTGGAGATTTTTTTGAGGCTTCTTTTTTCTGTTATATTTCTCTTTGCATGCTGTCTTGTTCTGATGCTGTACGTGCACAAGGCTTTTGGCCTTGCTGTTCAGTTATTTCTGCGTTACTGTATCCTTCCATCTACATCACGAATTAGACTTGGGGGAATTTTCATTGCTCCTCTAAGTTGCCGCCTGTTCATTCAGGATCTCTTTTATCAAGACGAGAACTTGTCACTCCGTGTCGTTGACGGGTACGTCTCATTTGTATTTTGGGATACATGGTGGAAAGATGTCTCTTGGACGTCCATACGAGATTTCATGGTGAGTGAAGATCTCAAAGGCATGCGGTGTCGTGCGGTGGTGAAGTTGCAATGGGTGCATGGTGTAATTGTGGAGGTCGTGCAAAATGGACGCAAAGTGCGGGTGCGACTAGATAGGGAAACGGAAGAGAATGCCTCACCGATCACTGTTACGACTGGTGATCGTTCAAGCAGTTCAAGTTGTGTTGAGCTTGATACTAGAGATGTGAGTGCAGCTGCAGGTAGTGGAGTCAGCAATAATCACTACGACGTCTCTAATCATAGTAATAATAATAATAATAGTAATAATAATAATAGTAATAATAATAGCAATAGAGGTAGCAATAACATCAACAACAACAATAGAAATACTGCTCAGTCTAATCAAGAAGAAACCCGCACATTTGGTGATGCCCCACTTTACTCTTCCACAAACATGGAACCGATGTTCTCCCCAATGGAAGATGATGAAGAGGAAGAAGAAGACACTGGGGAAACAAGACTGTTTGATGTGGACGCCGTGCAAATTCCGCAGAAACGTGGTAAGGTTCGTGTACATTTAAATGGAATGGGTCTAAGTCTTTATAATGCCACATGGAATTACAAAAAATTGTCATCCGAAGGTTCAACTCCAACACAAGAAGAACAATCAACTCATAGAAACAGTTTACATGGATGGGCACTACGAAGTATTATGAGCCGTTTTATGACAGATGAAGAAGGTGACTCTCTTAGAGCGGAAGAGGTGCGGCGAGGGCATAGTGAACGTTTGGGTAATGATGACAACATCTATGATGAAGATGCAAAACTAAAGGCACAAGAACAACAGCGACAATTAAAACAAAAAAAGTCTCTTTTTGAGCGTTTTTACGATTTCATTCAATTTATCGAAGTTGAATTGTTTGCGAGTTACGTTGATATTGGTGGTGCTGGAGCACCACATCCGTATTTTATGCACATTGGTTTCAAACGTGGTGAGGGTCGCACCTACTTGACTCAAGATGGACTGCCAAGCATAGATCTCTACCGTTTCGTTGCAGAGATGACACTGGAAGACGCGAATGCACGTTGGTGTTCCATGAAAAACGAGAAGGAGAGTAGCAATATTGCCCCACAACAAGAGCAGAATAATACATGGCGTGATTCGTTTGTACTCATGTTTAGAGGGACCTCACCGAATGAAATGCATGGTCCAACTCTAGACGACTCTTCTTCTTTGATTCGAAATTATGGTATGATTCTTAATGGTAAGGAGAAATCCACAGTACATATTGTTTTTTACCGTGATGTGACTAATGTTTATGCGGGTGAAGATGTGAGTCGTCGCTCCCAGTTGCCACACATTGGCCTTGAAGTTCTCATTGATGCCCCGGAGTTGAGCTACGGGCCCTGGTCACACTACTCTCTTATGAAACTGAAAGAGTTTTTTTATCCCACAACATACATGCCACTCGAGCCACTGAAATTTGAGTTGGGTCAACCACGTCCACTTGCGGGATTTGACATATTTGTGGAGTTTCTGTGTGATACATCTCTAATCATACCGTTTAAACGCAAGAGCCCAGCGCCATCGCCGCCGTTTGGTATTCGTGATTCTGGTCGTAAAGGGGTTATATTTCTAACACTTGGACGGGGTTCTCAATATATACAGAAGCCACAATTTCTCTTGCAGGGCGAGAAGAAGCAAGTATATGAAAGCCTCTTCAGTGCGAAGAATATATGGATGGCGACCAACGCCATTCAGGAGAGCAGCACGGTGCTTGCACATGCGCAGACATTGGATTTATTCATTGACAGACTAGATGATCGTGCGTACAATGGGCGTAAACTATGGAATATACTTCCTTCTCTGGGGGAGGGAGAGGCGTGGTGGTATATGGAATACATCTCTTTTTTTATGGATCTCATCAACGACTGGCAGTTTGTACCGCAAATGTATCATGGTGAACCTCTCTCAACAGAGATTTATAACACGTACAAGCAATTTGTGAAGGAGTTTATTCCAAATGTAAAGCGTTTTGAGGTTTTTTTTAATGGAGTTACACGACTGCATGTTAATACAAATCCGCAAAATGTAGTTTTTAGCGAGAACATTAACGATAATACCGCCAATACTTTTTTGACCTTTTCCGTGAAGAATGGTGGTCACTTCTTTATGACATTACCAAGTGATGCGTACCTGCTGAATTCTTTAACAGAGGTACATCGTCCTTTTGAATTGTCACTACAAGATATTGAAGCTTTCTTGACTCTTCCTCTCACACACCCACTTTGCGAAATGGTGGATGCAACCAAACCATTTGCGCAACTTGATGAACTTTCCCTGAAAGGATCACAAGTTGTGCACATACCAAATCAAACAGTACCACAAGACAAGAACCCGGTGGATCCCACTACAGGTCAAACCAAGCTAACAAACTATCTTGATATTGAGATTAATTTGACTGGTCTTCGTGGTTTCGTAATGGCACCACATATATGTGCCCTATTAGATGCACAGTCAAATCTTTTTGGGGCTTCTGTATGTGTTATACGCCCCGATGAACTTTTCTGGCCTCTCTCAAAAATTCAACCCAAGATGGATTTACCAAAGAACGTACGTCAACGGTTTAATGATTTTATTCAGAAAGACGAGCCACGAAGCAATGATCAAGAGATAAGTGTAACACTTACTATTTTAGACGTCGATGTCACAGTTCAAGCTGGGAGAACGGAATCACCAAAACTTAATTTGTGTTGTGGAAAATTCAGTTTTTCACTTATTCGACATTGTATTACAAACGATATAACTATTACGCTTACACCTGTTTGTGGACGTTTTTTCGATCAAAATGGTGATGATATTGTGAATGATTCATTTATTTGTTGCGGAAATATTACATTCAGCATGCTTCAACATTTTGGACCTCTCCCATTTCGTACCCTCTTCCATGGAGCAACGGATATAATGGTAGAGGGTTTCTCCTTTGACTTGACGGTGGAGCAGGTGGCGATGCTCACACAACTCTTCGCTGCCTTTATGGAGCAATTCCCAATGCGAGATGCACGCATGGTGCAGGAAATCGAGAAGGCACGCACAATGGCGGCTTACTCTGCAGAAAACTTGGTCTCACGTGGGGTTCGGACACGAAGAAATTCCTCTTGGCCGACCACTGAAGGTGGCCAAATTCCACAGCTAGAATCTATTGAAAACAATATTTATTCACCGGGGATTGTGGAGAGAAGATCTACTGCTGCTGTCGCTGCTGATGTACGTGAAGCTCTACAGCGATATCTTGCACTTGATGGGGCAGTTGTACAAACACCCTTCTCTGAATTGGTGCCTGAGTCCGTGGCGGCACGCTTCCATGAGTATCTAGAGTCTTTTGCTGCGGCGAGTGATAAGGAGAAGGATTACGCCGTTGTTACTACGCTTGCCTCGGTTAATCGTGGGTCTGGGTGTGTACGAATAGGGCCAGATAGTTACTTGGAGTTGCAATTACCCCACGGTGTACAATTTGCTGCATCAACACTGAATGATACCAATTCCAACTCCCGACAGAGTCTTGCTGTGCGTTCTATTGCTCTTCGTGGGTTTTGCCGACAGGATTCAAATGAGTTTGGTAAGAGTAGTGATGACTTTTCGGAAGTATTCTGCATTGAAACATCGCTTCGGGTAAGGCAATACACCGCGTATCCATTTGATGGTGGTCTTGAGGCACATCTTGAGAAACAACGTCAATTTGTGGAAATGAATGACTTGCAACGGGGATTCTCTTCGGAATTCCAACGTACACCGGAGACTCCGGTTCGAAGAAGTTATATGTCTGAACCACAAACAGCACCACCGAGCCGGCGAGAGGAATATCTCCGTAAACGGTATGAAGATGGACCACTGGGTGAAGAAGATATGCCACAGCAAGAACGAGATTCAATTGAGCAAAGCACAATTCTACAAATAAGAAATTTCGAACATCAGTTATCATTTCTGCAAGATCAAGCTACTGAGGTAACGAGGGATAACACTGATGGATCATCAGAATTGGTGAACCAGAATACTATGCTGTCCGTTAGTGGTATTAATAATAACACCTCTCAGAGATTTTTAACTTGTGTTTCTGCAACTGATTTGAGCGATTCTGAAGAGGAAGAGGAAGAGGAAGAAGAAAAAGAAGAGGATGTTCGTGATGATGATGATAGTAGTAGTAGTAGTGGGAGCAAGCATCTCGCGAAATACACTTTTGATACCACACAAGTTTCTCACGAAAAAACATCATCAGTACCGCTGGATATGGAAAAAGATGGACTTATGATGCGTCCATCTGAATCATTTTCATCGTTCCTACGTCCATTCTTTCTACACTCGCTTGGAGGTGATGAGAATGTATGGCTCAAATACAATAAACCGTCACTCTCTGGAGTTCGAGGTCCCCGTGATCGGACGTACTTTAACGCAGAGATTCCCTCGACGGTATTTTTTGCCGCTATGGAACCGCACCGTTCACCGCAGTTTCGCATGGCACAAGAGGAGAAGCTGTTTCTTCAAAGAACTGGTGTTAGCAGTAGTAATAACAACACTGGAAATAACAATAGTGAGGACGATGAAGAGGCGGATGTGTGGGCGCTCCGTCGCACAGATAATAGTAAGCGCTCACAGGAGGGATCCACATCAAAGCATTTACATGTAGAGGCTGTATCACCATTGATCGCACTGGTAACACCACAGTTTGTACGAAAAATATGTTTTGATGCCGAGATGAGATTTCTCGCACTAGTGCGACACTACCAACGACCACCCGACACCCCTTCCACGTGTACGAACTTGCCGACAGTGAGTGAGTGTGATCGCACCGGGGGGTTTACACATCAAACGCAGCATAGAAAACGAAGGGGTATTCATAAGAAGGATCTAAGCAAAAATCGTGTTCATCAAAAGCGATGGTTATCGGCAGTTCGAATTATTAGTGTTATTCTTCCGTGTATTGAGGTCAAAGTACTTACAGAACTCCCTGTACCACCCGAAAATATGGCACCCAACACAACTTGTAATGGAGTCTATACAACAATGCTTGGCGTTCGATCATTTCAGTTTGTCATGCAACGAACTCTTCCTCCAGCGCACGCTGCTATTAATGTTGAGAAAACTGTCATTTCTGCTTCTATCACTCTCTCTTCCCTGGCTATTATTACACAGGTGGAGTATGAACCTGTAGTTCGGCATGGAAATCTACACATAAAAATTCCAGGAGTTGTGTATGATGATGAAAAAGATACTCTTGCTGTAGCATATCTCACCTCATTCTGTGGACGAGGAAGACGTACCACTTCGCAAGGCATGCAGAATGGCAGTTGTCACATAACTGTAGACACCATGGCTTTCCACATTACGCGTGATTTTTTTCACTATGTATGGTCAATGAAGGCATTGTTTGAGCAGCTATCAAAAATGCGTCTTTCACAGAACCAAAAAGGCATTTCTTATTCTGATTTGCAAGAATCAATCAATATTTTCCATCTACGCGGGAATAGCATGCGTGATTTTGTGTTTCCAAGACTCGCACAACAGTCAGAATACCCTTTTTTATCAACAGACTATGGTATAGAGGCCAATCTAATCCTACAAGGTGTAGCTTCCATCAACTGTGTGCGGATCGAACTTTTTGACGTTACTCGTGAGGGCAAATACCTGCAGGTTTCCACCAATCGTCCGAGTTTTATTGAAATAAAGCGTCCTTCCGCCAAGTTTCTTGCAAAGGTACCAATGAAGGGTAAAGGTGAGAGTGGGATACATATTGCAGGCAACAGAGAATCCGCATTTACTTCAACTCCCTCTGCATTATGTGACCCATTCTTAGCTGAAGATGTCAACCGCCCCGTATTACCACCAGAGCGACATCGAAAACAACGGCGAGACGCACAGGTTAACTTTATTGGGGAGGTGGACTCTTTACTAATAAAGTGTTATCCGTCTTTACTTCATATATTTGGTGCAGCGAAAGAGAAGTCATTAGGTGTACTACCCCCAAGTAATAGAGGAATTTCGCAACGGCATATGTCTAATGTTGTTTGTGAGCTTCTAAATCTTTCTGAAATGAATGCACCTGGTGGTGGAATTGGAGTTGTATTTGTGGGAAGCTTCGCTTTACATCAGCTGGATGTATCGATGCTGTATTCAGAGTTAAATTTCATGCAGTTTAAAGGGTCAAAGATAACTGGATGTGGTGAGTCTCGCACGGAACATGTGAGTTCACGAGAGTGTGTTCAGACACATGTTCTTACTGCAGCAATTTCTGAAAGAATTCGGGAAAAGTTACGCCAATTGGCAAAAAGGGCACGAGAACGGGCTCCTAACAGCCGTTGCGCCGCTCCTCCCTCTGTTACACCACAACTTCATTTAAAGAGTAGCGCTGTTTTCTTCGCAGAGACAATGTTCCTTCAGTATGTTGCCGATGTGATTGTGCCAGGTACTACCACTAGTAGTGAAAGCACCACTATGAATACGCTTCGAGGTCAGGAAGAGTCAAGTGTCTTTATTGCAGTTGTCAAGAATATTGCTCTTTGCGTACATAAGGCGAGCCAAAACGTTTGTTTCAGTGATGATCGAGACCCTAAAGATTATCCAGAGAAAGATTTTAAGGTGGGCCGTGAAGGAGAGCAAATAAATCTTCAAATAGATGTTGGAAAAATTACGGTATCATCACCATATCGTCCCCAGGCTACTGAGACAGTACGGCCGCAACTGCATGAATGGTTGCAAGGTTGGATGGATGCGAGAAAGATTTTACAAGCGATGCGAGATGCTCGAGCAACATCTACTCATGAGGGTTCTTTATCCTTCTCAGGTCGTCCAGGAAAAAGAATGCACGCATGGTTTTGTGCAATGCAGATACATGATGTTCAAGTGAAAAATGATTTGCCCCAGGGTATTACTTTGGAACTGGATATTCCTCTAGTTTCAGCCTTTTTAACTGCCTCTTCCGACCAGCGTTTAGCACTCAAGACACATTTTCATCCCTTCACACTGACTTCCAAAAGCTTTTCAACAGGGCACCATGCTGTTGAGTTGCCAAGTGTTTATATTATCTACGCCAAAGATGAAGTTAGACAGACAGGTACGTGTTTGATGCAGAGTGTTGAAATCCAGGTGTCACCAATTATTATTACCCATGTGTTGTTAATTTTGGAAAGACTTGTAGCGGTACGTGAGGCATTATTAAATCCAATTAGTGTAGAAGAAGAAGAAAACAGAGGTCCTACAAAGTTTCAGATACCAAAACAAATACAGTCAAAGGTATCACTTGGATTGAAAGATCACTTTTTGTTTCTTCTTGCAGGACTTAGAATCTCGTACCTTACATCCATGACGAACCTACGCTTTTCCATACGTAGACTTAGCGTGACGACGGATAAGGTCTCTTGGGGTAAGCACCGAAAAGCAAATATAGCGGCAAATGTCTCTAATGCACAAGTTGCACTTGTGGATCGTGATGATTATGATCAACTACAAGCTGCGTTGCGTCAGGCTGCGATGTACACTCGTAGCGAATCCTCTGTGCCTAGTACAAAGGCAGCACTGTTACTGCACCGTCCCGCCTTTGCACGTTCTAGTGAGTTACCACAAACAGTTCGTCCACTGAGCGGTTTTATTTGGGGTCTTTTTGAAGCCTCATTTTCCCTTTCGAGTGGTAGAAGTGATATAAATGAGCTACGCGCAGTGCTAGAGAACTTACTTGTGGATAAACCTGTGTCTCCTGTGGATTTACGTGAGTTAAATAGACTTGGAAGTACTGCCACACGATGGAACATATCAGTCACTTCACCACTTATTATTGCTCGAATCGGATTAATTCCACTCTTACAGCAATCCATTGATGAGACCACATACCTTGTGGAGGAAATTAGGTTTGCGGCACAGCGGGAGGGTCGTTTGTTCCATAGACAACTAACAAAGTCAGCGGCGTACCGACGACTTGTGCGAGTGCGTAAACAGATGGAGGCTGTTAAGAGAAAGTCGGAACGGTTAAGGATTGAACGGCTCAGAAATCTTACCGCAGGGATGGTACCAAGGAACAGTTCGACATTTCAGCGACGCCCTTCGTTATCCTTTTCTAGCGATACTGCAGTTCGTGATTCTATGGAGGAAGATCTTTTTAATGCCACTTCTGATAGTAAGTTTGTTGCAACAGTGTCAAATTTTCTCGTCGTTATACCCTTCGGGGATGCCGCATATCGCAGCATTTTGGAAGAATTACCAGACGTATATGTGAATGGACGTGGTGATCCTGTGCTGAACCGCAAGAAATTTATTCCCACTATGGCATTAAAGATGAAGGTGGAAAAAATTACATTTATATGTGGACTTCTTAAGACGCAACGATGCGTGCCTGTGATTCCATCAATGGTAAATAACGACAATTCCAGTGGATTTCTAGAGGAGGCAGCAATGAAATCTGCGAATAAGTTAAAGTTTACGGCTCGCTTTGCACTGGATGATGCACACTTGTACTTTAGTGATGGTTCACCTATTAAATCCGACTCTTCAGCAAGAGAATTGCTTGGTACAACACATATACTTGGAGGCCTCGGTACCCTCACTAGCTCCGATCGTAAGGAGTATCGTTACTCTTTGTCAAAGTTATATTTGAACTCTATTGATATTCCGCTTCATATTACTAAGCAAGGGAATGAGGTGAAGATAGGTGCCACTGCAGAAATGAGTGCCCCCAGAGTCACTCTTTCAACACGTTTTGTGAGTATTCTTAGCCAGCTTATTCAGGAAATACCATTAAAAGCATTCCCTCCTTTTCCCCAACAACATGCAGCATCTAACGCGACGAGTGATGGCACTATCACCACCACAGTATCGTCAGCAACCGTAAGAGGAGTAAGTGTAGAGTCGGATTTTTATGTTGACCCAGTGGCTTTATTAGAAGAAACGAAATCGATAGATAAAAAGACCCCATTATTATACTCCTTTGACGTGACAGCACGAATTGATCGTGGTGAAGTGATCATTTACTCTGTCCAAAAGGATTCTACTACAGGGGCCCCTGTATCTTCGCAAACAGGGGAGGATCTGACGAGTAAAAACACACGCTTAAATCGGAGACGTGTGAGGTTCTCTATTGCTTCGGATAAAAGTGAGAATACTTTACCTTCTCCCCCTGCTACTACTACTAATACTGCTGCTGGTGGCGGTGTATCTCTAGGAGGAAGTCCCATGGCGGCACTTCTTACAATACCAATTCCTGACATTACCGCGCGGGTCGTAGTAACATTGGGTGGTAATATGAGTGATGAGGAGCAAACGATCATTCGTGTGGAAATTCGGGCAAATACCGTGGAAATTGGTCCTTCAATACTCTCACTTGCGCAAGAGATTGAAGAATGGATGGCAGTATATGATCGTGATAAGAGTGAACGTACAGGTAAGATCCTCGCTATTGTGAAAGAATGGGAGAAGGATATCACCAATAGTATACTTTCTTTGCATTCACCTATTGCTGATGTGGCGTTGCCGTTACCACGTGCCTTTGCTGCTGGAATGGCTCAAATTCGTGCAAACTCAAGTAATGTTAGTGCTATACGACGACACCGAGGACACCAACGGTCTTGGTCCTTGCCGACACGTTTGTTGAGCCCTTCAAAATTGGGACCAATTCAGAAAGTTGACACTAAGAAAAGCAGTTTTATGAGTATTCATATACGCCTAACTGGATTTCGTCTTGTGTTGACAACAGAACCTGTCTCAACAGTTGGCCTCTCACTATTTTTAGAGGAACGTGGTGGAAGTCTTGATTTCTTTGTGAAACGGGTATTAGGAAAACACTCAGTGCGGTTTGTCAACACACCAGCGGCCACGCCTCCAGTGGTGTCATTCTTTCTCTGCGTACGTCGTTTGCGGGTGGAGTGTCAGGCGAAGTTAGAGGTGAAATCATTTGAAATGGATCTCCCGGAATTGGAGATGTGCGCTGCACTTCGTCGTCGTAGTCGCCATCGCAAAACATGGTCGTTGATGAATTTCTCTGTGTGCATTCCTCCGAGTGGTTCAGGTGGTACGGAGTTGAGTATTACACTGCACGCAACACACTTGTCACAACTCTTTATTGTTCAGGAACTTTGGCACAGAACCTTGTACGCGTCGCTTCACAGCATTCGTCAAATGTTCGCCCGCGGAGCTCATATAATTAAAGAAAATGTGAGTAAAAACCCTGTTATACAGCGACGTATGGCTTCATTACAGAAGATTATTGTAGAGGAGACGCTTATGGTTGTACTTACAGCTTCGCACAGCAAGGTACGTATTGATCTTGGTTCGGGCAACGCTCAGCAAGCATCACTTGGTGGTATTAACTTTGCGTTACAGTCCACAAAAACCGCTAATCACGCTTGCCGCAAGGTATGTTTTGACTTGGCTGTGAGATCCTTCATGTTACGCTCCGAAGGTGTTCTTTCTGGCGCAGCAAGCCTTGAAAATGGCTTTCTAAAAGGATTTTTAATAGAAAATGCGGATGGTGTGAAAGTGTTAACGCGCTCACCTGGAGGACGAACATTCCGTCAGGCAATGTGTACACAAAAACTACATATAATGTTTAAGGAGAGGCAGCTCAAGGATGTGTTTGAGTGTCATGTTGGGGAGTTCTCTGGAAATGCTATGGATGGTGTTGGAGAGGAGGACAGTGCCACAGTCCATGCAGAAATGTTTCTAAGAAGAGGTAATGTATTGATAACTCCAAGCACCGTCCCGGCATTTCTCAGCACCATTAGGATTTTTAGCGAGATTGTCGCAGCCCAACAGAAGGTGACAGCGGAAAAACTTATTGATAGTGGTGTACAGGGAATAAAAACTTCGTTAACAGAGAAGATGAAAGACGTTGTTCGCGGTGTTGAGTGGGTTCTGGATCACCGCAATTCCACTGGAGTGGACAAGAGTGCAAATCTTCTCTCAGACTTTCCTGAAACTGCTGGTGCTGCTAATGCTTTGAGTGATGGCGACAGGAAAGCCAATGTAAGTACTGTATCCAAAGAAATTGATAACAGCAAGAGCAATATGTGTATTCTTTTTATGGGGAATCCCCTTACACGCATTCCATGCGGCCAATTCGAAATCAAAGTGGAACAGACGACTTTATTGTTGGGAAATGCCCCAAAAGGTATGAATACCTTAAGTAGTCTCGTAGCAGTTTTTCCCCGGGCAACACTTTCCTTTGCGGAGTGTCCAAGTGAAGGTAGAAGTGTGATAAAAAAGATGCTAGTACTTGATGCGGAAAATGTAGAGCTTTTCCGACCTGGTTCCGTTAAGGTACTTATTCTAGGTTTCCGCGGGCCCAATAAGTTTGAATTTTACTCTAGACAAAAGATAGGAGAAAGTGAGGTGGGGTTTGTGCTGAGTTTGGATCAGGCACACCCTTGGACTGGGAACCCACGTTTCCAAGATTTTCAAGAAATGATTCAGCTCGCCCGCTCCTTTACTGCAAAAAGTAATGCCGAGGTTTTTCAACATTTTGGTGAAGTTGATCATTTATGGCCTAATGAAAGAGAAAAAGTCGTTGCTGCTGATGATAATGAAAGTAAAACAGTCAAGCAAGATGTCGAGACAAAACCCGTAGATGAGAGACGCCTAAAAGCACTAAAAAACGTAAAATTTTCACCTCATTTACGTTTTGGGGGTGACGTTGCAGTTAATATCGATGTCATTCTTAATTGGCTTGGTATATCAGAGAAAATGTTGCCGTATATTATTCATGTGAAACTGTGCGATAAAATGGAAGCCCTTTTGAACCACCTTTATGAAAAAGAAAGAACGAATGTGAGTTAAAAGAGAATATTGTTTGAGAGTTATCCTTGCTGTTATTCATTCTTTTTTTTTTTTTTTTGATAATAAATAAGAATGAAAGATATTTTTTTTTTTTGATTTTGGGTGATCTTTTACATCCTTGTTTCTTTTTTATTCTTTTCTATTTTTTGTTTTTTCTTTTCTTTCTCTGGTTGTGTACATTCTTCTATTGCTTCCGTTTGTGAGATAGTGTTAATAGCGGGGGAGGTGGGCTACAACGATTGATCTTGTTTTTCTAGGCATAACTAAAGGAAAAGAGAAGCGTTTAGTCAATGTTGAGGCGCACCAGTTTTGCTGCTGGAAGAGCGCCGCCAGTGATTGGACAAACACGTAAGGCACGATTTTCTGGAATTGACGACAACCCTACTATCACTTTCAAACCATGGGACACCAGTGAACCACTTATGGCCGACTACGGTTGGCAAAGAGGACAGCTGCCAAAATTTCGTGCTCGCAGTCCATTTCATCGGCAGCAGATTGCTCGACGAATGGTAACAGAAATGATACGGAAGGATTATTGCATTGTAGGTGGTGCACGTGCCCCAGCACTCCGCATATTAGCCGATCATGTCGTTGAACTTGCTAAAGCAGGCGATACCGATTCGCGTCAGCAATTGGCGTACTTTTTAATTGATCCACTTATGGTTGACAAGGCCTTTGATGAATACCCCCGGCGATTTAAAGATATGCATGGTAAATATGCCATGATGACTCGCCTTAAGAGTCGTCGCCGTACGGATGGAGTGGCCATGTACTTTGTGGAATACAAAAATCGTGATCTTAGTGATAATCATAAGGGTGAAGATTACACTACAGGACCTGAGCGTTTTTTCCTTCCCCCTCGCATTGTAGAGACTGAGAAAGGTATCCAGCGACCACCGCATATGCAGATGGCATTTGATCGTTGGGCTAGTAAGTTTAAAACGGAGGAATTTCACCATTGGTGGCGCCTTCGTCATGCAAAGCTGCGTTACTGGGGTGTACGCAATGTGCCGCATCCCAGTGATGTAGATCCACTCTGGACAGAGAAGGAGGAAGAAGAATGGCACAATGAGATGCTTGCTAACACAGGCGACTTTGAGGATTTAGATCTCGAGGACGACAGTTTTGTTGCTGCAGGAGAAGGCGGAGAACCTTCACCCAGTGGAGCCGGTCCGGAGCTTCAGAAAAGGTCGTGATGAAGATTATTCGAATGAAAAACAATTAACAGCTCTTGCCACACATTGTCGGTAATGCTATTTTATTATTTATTGTTTTTTTTTTTTTTCTTGTTCTCAAATGCCTTCTTATATCTCATCTGCTTACGATCAAATTTCTTTTTTTTTTTTTTTGCTTTAGCTCTCGCTTCATTTTTTTTTTTCTTCTTGTGATCCCTTTCTGACATTCTTTGTCGAATCGGGAAAAAAAGTGGTAATAGAAACAAAAGTTAAAAAGTGGTATATACAAAAGAAAAAAAAGGGTTCATACAACATATAGAGGGCGATAGTAAGAGACACAAAGGAGTTTCTTCGCCCACCAATATTGAACGAGAAGGGTTTTGGAAGTGAGGGAAGAAAACATTTTATGACGAGCAAGATACTGTAATGCCAATACGAAAGAAGGAAGAAGTCTGTGGAAAGCCTACACAGTACAACCTTAGAACATGTGAATATGATTGGAAATACCTCCCAGATACACATTTTAACTTGGGTGAAACCCCTAAACCACGGAATAAAGATTATTTTATGCAGAACCTGCCGTCAAGGGCGGAAAGTCGTGAACAACTTCCTCCGTTGTCACCTCGGGCTTCTCCGCCAGTTGAGCAACCCGCCATAATATCATCCCCACCCTTGCCAGTGAAACTAAATTCAGCACCGACAACATCTTCTTTTCCGATTATTCCTTGGTCTCATGATAATCTACGTCGGATGGTGGAGGCTAATCAAATGGAAGCACAACGGTCGTATCTGCGGAGAGGACTCTAAATGGAATGGAAAATGTATATTTCTACAAGATACTATTGGTTTTATAGGTAAACCATTACAATATACCCGATAAGATGGGCTTTTTTTTTATATATTTATTTTATGTCTATTGATATATTGCATTGCAGTCTTTTTCTTCCCCATCCTCGTCTCCATGTTTTTTTTTTTTTTTTACATCCTTTGTTTGTTTGTTTGTTTGTTTTTCCTTTTCCTTGAACAGAATTGGATGTGCTGCCTATTTATATATATTTATATAAATACGGATCACAGCTTAGCGTATTTGTACGTTTTTTTTTTTAATTTTCGGTGTTTCTATTTATTTCTCTTGGTGTTGGTGTTGGTGTGCACGTGCAGGGTTGAATCACAGGTTGTTTTCTTTTTTCTTCTCTTCCTGTTGTTTTTCCTCCCTTGCTCTTGGTAGGGTGATGGATATTGAACACTGGCGCCGGGCATTGCAGGGACTTTTGAAGAGCACATCTCTGCAGATCCAGCCTGCCCATCTTCGCCATATTCTACAGACTGTTCGTCTTTCAGTTCAACATCCTTCAGTGTCATTGGAGGAGAGGATACAAGAGTACCAAGAGATTGAGAAACGTTTACAAATCTTGCAAGTAGGTCACCAAAGACAACTTCAGATATTGCAAGAAGTGAACAGTAATTTAGAGAACCTCGTATTGTCAATAGAAACTGTATCTAAAGATACTACGACAGGTGTTTCTGAAGAAGTTATGGTGAATGAGAGTACATTAGAAAGAATGAACCGCGTATTAAAGGTCGCTACTGAACGTCTTGATAATACTTTGACAAGTACACACCGCATTTAGTGTTCTTGGTACAGCAAAAATGATAACTGGTGTATTTTTTTTTTTTTTTCTGTAAATATTATCGACTAGCAAGATAATGGAGTTGAACGGCAAAAGAAAGACAAAATTGTTTATACTTATAATGGGTTTTAAATGTTGCTCTTTCCATCTGTAATATTCACTTGAACTGTAAAAATAATATAAAAGGTTAACCGTAGTTGTTTTTTTTTTCCTTGGTTTTCTTAATTCTATTCATATCTATAATTCTCAAAGATTTTTAAATAAATTGTTTTCTTCTCTTCTTATTTTAAATTTTTTATTTCTATATGTATATACGTTTCTCGAGTAGAGTTTTGTGTAAAATTTTACCCGTACACCCCCCGCCACAGCCACATAAACAGTCAAGATGCCTAAGAATATGGGAAAGGGAGGCAAGTCCTTCAAGGCAGGTAATGTTAAGGGTATAATGCAGAATCAGAAGCGTGATATTGTTTACGCTGATCCTAATGAACACGAGGAATACGCCCAAGTGAAGAAGGCATTGGGAAATTTACGTCTTGAGCTTCAGTTGGCGGATGGTAGTAAGGCGATAGGTGCCATTCGTGGGGCGATGGTGCGAAAGGTTTGGATTGCGCAGGGTGATGTTGTGTTAATCGCACGACGCTCCTTTAACACCAATGATATTGTGGACGTTATTCACCGTTACACCCCCGCCGAGGTGCGTACTCTCGTCAAGGATGAAGTGATCCCACGTGATTTCCGCTCCACCGATGAGCGGGAAGCCAACAACGCACAATCCGATTACGTGTTTGTTGCAGAGAACGACAACGACGGTGCGGATGAAGAAGATGAAAACGCCATTGACCGATACAAGGTTGTATTGGATGACCCTCTTGCGAACTTTGATGACCTTTAAAGGGAAGAAAGAGAGGAGTACAGAAATAATGAGGAGAAGAAAAGTAAAAAAAAAAAAAAAATCAATCAATCAATCAAACGAAACGCAAATGAGATATTTGAAGCGTTTCTACCTTTTTATTTCACACAGCTTCATCATACTGTACTGATATGCACATAAATTTATTCCCCAATTGTGTGTTTGGTGGTGTGTGATTCTGTCGACGATAGAAACAATTGAATCTTCGGAGTGAACCCGAAAAAAAAAAAAGTGTAAGAGAAGAGAAAAAGAAATACAACAATTAAAAGGAGACAGAGTTTTCCCCCTTACACTTCATACTGCATAATGCGCCTCTCTAAAGGATTAAAAAAAAAGGCATGAAATCGATATAAATATATATATATTTCTGTTTAAAAAAAAAAAAAAGAAAAAAATTTGCAAGGGATAAAAGATTACACTTATTATTAACACTAAATGTCTGCATTTTTCTTTTTCTTCCTGTCATGACTCTTAACTCCTTTATTCTTATTTTTTTTTTGTTTTAATTCTTCTCTTCCTATAGAAGGAGACATTAAAAGGAGGGGTCACATGGAATACAAGGAATGGTTTTATGAACATCGGCGCATGCTTATAGCGGCAGTATTATTTATTCTGTGTGCTTTATTGCATGATTTACTATTTTCACTTCCTCCCAAGGAGGACTCTAAGGATGGAATTAACCTTTAAATTTTGCAAAGAGAGGGAGGAGTTCAATTCAGTCATCATAATAAAAAAAAGAGAGATTATGAATATATATATAATATTGTTTTTCTTTCCTTTCTGTTTTTCTCTGAAATTTCCATTTCTCGTGTTTATCTATTAACCTTCTTGCAGAGGCAAGATGGTCGAGTGGTCTAAGACGTGACGTTCAGGTCGTCATCTCTCCGGAGGCGTGGGTTCAAACCCCACTCTTGTCAATGTTTTTTTTATCTTTTTTTCGTTTCCTTCCTACTTCCTATGGGCTTGTGGTTTCATTTATGAAATCTGTTGGCCTTTACTGTAGTTGTGAAAGAGAATTATGTAGTGCGAGAGAAGATATTGGACTGCGTGCGTAACACATCAATGATGGAGATGAGACTATGCACAAACAAACTAAAGTCCCCATCAAAGCAGGAGAGAGAAGAAACACATGGATGCTGCTCTCTTAACACTGCTGATCTAATGACACTTTATCCCATTCAATAGAAATGGAAACATACATTTCCTTGTGTCCCATTCTAAGCTTTCCTTCTTTATCTCTGTAATATCGCGTTATGTTTATGATTTGGGGGAAAAAAGTAACCGGTCACACCTTAATGGGAGTTTCCATAGCACAAATGATACCTGACTCTCATAGGTAGAAGAAGAGGAGAATGTTCCTTTATTTGGTGCGAGAACTCATTGAGTGGTAGTGGTACAATGATCCTACTACCCATCAATTGTAACAAAAAGTGAAAGGGGAAAAAGAAAGAATAATTGAAGAACTCTTGGAATATACATTTTGATAAAATGGAATGAAACAAAAATCTCTCTTTGGGGAATACATTGCAATGCTATTTCCCAGTGCAGAGATGTTCTACGCCTTTTATTGATAACTACAACACAAGTGGAAATTAATATCTCTGTTGTGGTGAAAGGGAAAAAACGTTTCTACTGAAAGAGTATTAATAGGAGGCGTACACAACTGCAGGGAGTGAATAACTGAGGAGTGATACTGAATTGAGATCTATACTAAATAAACAGAGTTAAAAAGCAGTGTGTTGTACATGTTGCTTTCTCTTGGAAATGTGAGTAATATTCTTATAGATAGCGTTCTGTATGTATGTGTTGTGGGTATGATAATTAGTACAGGAGTGTTTTTATAGCTGATGGAATATTTCATATAATCCTCTCCTCTATTATTTTATGGCTCTTCTGATGTATAATTTTTATTTTATTATGCTCTTCTACTCCTGATATGGTTGAGCAAAATGTACCAAGTGGAGTTGATGGGTTAGTCAAGCATGAGGTACGCAGTCTTTTTCTATGCAAAGGAGAAATTTAACACATATTATCATTCGCTCTTTCCATGGTTTTTTTTTCTATCTTTTTCACTTGTTTAAAGGCAGTACAGCACTCATTATTATGACTATTTGTTATTATTCTCTGCATTTCTTACAAACACCATAAAACACCAAATCTGCTCACAATGCATTCTTGTTGATACTGTTGGTATGTATGTACCACAAGAGGGTATATTGATATCTTTTCTCATTCTACTTTTGGCATAACTACTATTGTTCTCTTTCTAAGAGTATTACTTTTGATGTATATATGTGTTTAATTATCTGCTAGATCCAATATAATATCTATTCATGCTTACCTTTTATTCTCTCCCTTTTCTTCTTTTTTTTATTTGCTGTTTGTACCCTAGCAAAGCAACACACACACACACTCACACCACTCACGCTATTAAGAAATGGAGAAACACTCCATGCGTCACCTGCTGTGGACTGCACTGTTCTTGTTGTACTGCAGTTGCGGGTGTTTGGCTACTGTTGTGCAGCAGTTACCACAAAAAGGACAAAGTGCTCTACAGGCATACACCGTCTCTAATACTGCCGATGATAAAACTGGTAAAGAATGGCAACCCATCCGCATTGGTGTGTATACAAAACGTGTGGAAGATGTGCTGAAGTTTTGCGAAGACGGCAAATTGCCGCCTGAGTACGAAGATGAGTTTCTCGAGACTGACGAGGTACAAGAAGAGTTTGCAGAGCTCTGTGGTGTTAAACGGGGGAATAAGAAGTTAATAGCGGAAAAGAAGGATATTCTTTTAAATAAAGTCTTGCCTAAAGCCATCAAACTGCACGCAGATCGCCTTAATGTGAAACAGGTGAAAGAAAGTCTAAAGATCGAAAGTGAGGACGTTTTGCCAGAAGAGTGCGAAGGCTTTGGCATCCCCGAAGGACATAAAGAGAAAGGTATTCCTGATGCTGATTTTGTAATTTACGCGAGTCTCTCCACTAACATTGGACATGGGATTTGCAGTAAAGATAAGCAAGGGAGACCAACGTCTGCTGTCATCAAATTCAACCTGTATGATATAGAAGCAACACGGAAGTATATTCGCTTCACTGCACATGAGATTGCTCATGGTCTTGGATTTCAACATGAGTTTATGGACAATCTGACAATGATAGAACCCAGCAACAAAGATGGGAAATCTAAAGGAGTGTCACGTGGTCTAACTCCCCGTATGGTGAAATTTGTAAAATCTGTCGACAAGCTGAAGAGTCATTACAACTGCGATGGTGAAGTAAAGGGTTTGTATTTGGAAAATTATATTTCCTGGACGTCCCACTGGCGGAGTCGTATTGCGAAGGATGAGTTGATGAGTACATACATTGGTGAACCCACTGGTATGTATTACACTGCACTGACACTTGCAACATTTCATGAAATGCCCTTCTACAGCGCAAATTTCACCATGGCAGAACCGATGAGTTGGGGGAATCAATCTATATGTGAGTTTCTTCAAGGTAAAAAAGATCCAGCAGAGACTAGACACCCCAATGTGTTCTGTGAGGAAAATGAGAAGGTGACCCTACAGTGCACCTCTGACCGTTTTGCCCTTGGTATGTGCTTAACGAAGAATAACCTTGGACAGTTACCCAATGGATACCAATATTTCAACGACATAAGTGTTGAGTGGGATGGTGACTTGATGGATGGTGATGCAATCATCAGACCCTTTATAGGTACTGACTGTGAGGATGGTAATGAGACTCTGTTGCCTGGCAGTCTTTTCGGACGAGATTCACGGTGTTTAAAAGCTGAGGGTCTGAAGATAACTGGATCAAGTGACACCCACCTTAACATTGCTGGTGTTTGTGCAAAAGTGAAGTGTGATAATGAAAAGAAGGAGGTGAGTGTACAACTCAAAGGTTATACTGAAAATAATAAGGAGTGGCATGAGTGCAGCGATGACAAGGCAAATGTTGAACTGACGGATTCAGAGTTCAGTGGGGGAACTATTAAGTGTCCCAAATACGAAGAAGTGTGCATTGGGTTGCTGGAAACTGAAGCACCTTCCAACATTACGTTTTACAATGGCACAAAATTTACTGACGGGTACGTTGATTTGCATGATGAAAATAAAGAGGAAGAGGAAAAAACAACAAAGAATTTTGAGCCACCACATTCGCAATCTGTTTCCCCAACTGTTCCAACTAATGTCAATCAAAACGTGGGCAGTTTACCTGTAGCTACACCGCTTGCACGGGAAAACGAGGAACGCCAAAAACACCAGGGACCCGATGAGCACAGAGATGCATCCCAGAAGAGTCCGGAGAGCATGGGAGTTCAGAACAGAGTTGCGCCCACTGTGGTTCAAGTAAGCAGTAGTGGAACTGCTAACGCAGGCAATGATAACGGCAGCGCGGTTGGTACTGTTGGCACCAGCAGCAATGGAAGGAACCTCATTAATGCGGGTCGGTCCACCCAAAGCGTACCCTCTTCTGCCCCTGCTCCTGCAAACACCGATCTGCACGAAACTCTGAAGGAAAAGATCGCAGATCCACCAGCAGCAAACAACGATCAACAAAATGCAACGCAAACATCAACCAAAGCTGAGCCGTCATCCGGACCAAGAACGCCAGCCGAAGCAAACGCACAAACGGATAAGCACGGGAAAATTTCTTCTCCAGCTTCCACCGAAGTTCAAAGTGATGGTAAAAGGGAAGAGAATCCATCGAGATGGCGCCGTGATGTTGATGATGCTACTTCTTCATCCACATCTAATCCCAACAGCAATGACAACCCATTGCAGTCCACCAACACTGTTAATGGTGCAGATGACCGCTCCTCTGGTACAGTAAACAGCGATGCTTTGAATGGGACAAAATTCACTGAGGGCCAAATAAAAGAAGAAACATTAAATCATACAAATATAATGAGTGCGTTGGGTCCTGACAGCAGCATCATGGTTTCCTACATGGCCCCTCTTGCACTTCTTGTGTGTGTTGTTGGTTTTGTGATGGTTCCATGAGAGATCCATTCATATTCAGAAATAATAAACACTTTTGCTTATTACGGTGCTTTGAAACGAACCTTATAAACCGCAATACATTGACCGTTCTTTTTTTTTTCTCCCTTCTTTTTTTTTTTTTTCACCCTTCTTCATTTCATTGGAAAATTTCTTTTAATTGTTTATGATTTCTTGCTATGATTTTAAATTCATTTTCTGAAAATAAATAATTATAAAATATACATTTTGCAGAATCCCACTGTTTGTTGTCATATACAATGGAGTACAAATATATATGCTGAGAGAGCGATGACAGTGTCAGATGGGCAATAAACATAAACTTGGGCTTCTTTTCATTGGGGATTTTTTAAATGGGTTTCTTTCTTTTTGAATTAAAATGTTCTGGGTAAGAAGGTTTATGTGTTTATGTTTTTCTGTAGTTGTTTCTATGCTGATGTTTTTTGTTGTATTGTTTATTGTATGTGTTGCTTCTTTTTCCTTCTTTTTGTCTCTCGTTGTTTTTCCCAAGTCTCTCAAGGATTCTATGCGATAGACACACTGAGAATGACATTATGTCGAACATTACCACTGTTTACGTCCTTTAGCTATTGAGATTGGATTTGACTGCAGTAGGTGCCGCTGCTCTTGTTAATGTGTGTGACCCTTGATATTGCATTTATCGTGGTGTTGCCGTTGGTGTTTCTGAGAGTATTACTATCAATGCATACATGTGTTTGATTCTTTGCTAGATCCAATATAATATTTCTTTCTGTATGCTTACCTTTTATTCTCTCCCTTTTCTATCTTTTTTCTCTTTACTGTGTGTACATTAGCAAAGCAACACACACACTCACACCACTACAAAATGGAGAAACACTCCATGCGTCACCTGCTGTGGGCTGCACTGTTCCTGTTGTACTGCAGCTGCGGGTGTTTAGCTGCTGTTGTGCAGCAGTTACCACAGAAAGGAGAGAGTGCTCTACAGGCGTACACCGTCTCTGATACTCCCAAAAATGATGATAAGAACGGTCCGGAATGGCAACCCATCCGCATTGCTGTGTATACAAAAACTGTGGAGGATATCATGAATAATTGCGAAAAAACGCTCAAAGAGTACAATAAGCTCAAAGAAGAACTTCAAAAAGAACTTGAAGGAGAACTTGAAGGAGAGTTTGAGGAAAAAGTTGATGATCCTGAAGCCTTTCTAGAAGTGTTTGAAGACGAGATTGAACAACTTAAACGGCTATGCAGGGGTAATGATAGGATGACAGAGGATAAGAAAAAAGTTCTTTTTACGGAGGTCTTGCCCAAAGCCATCAAATTGCACACAGATCGCCTTAAAGTGAATCACGAGGAAAGGAAAACAATTTCAAGCGTTGGTGAGCAAGAAAATTTTAACATTGGCTGCCATTTCTTTAAGAATCCCTTGAAACTAAAGGTGCACCAGAGTGAAGATTTTGATTTTATGATTTACGTGGGTCTTTCAACCTCTGGTAAAACTGTTGAGATTTGCACTCAGGAGAACGAGAATGGAAGACCAACGTCAGCCGCCATTAGATTCATCCCAGATGAGATAAAAGCCACAAGACAGTTTATTCGCTTTACTGCACATGAGATTGCGCATGGTCTTGGATTTCAACTTGACCTCATGAAAACACTGGGAATGATAAAGACCCGCGACAATGATCTTTTCTATAACCCGGTAGTTGTTGAAAAAAAGTACTATATGGTGAATTCCTCTAAAACTGTTGAAATGATGGAGAAACATTACAACTGCAAAGGTACATTAAAGGGGTTGTATTTGGAAAACGAAGATACCTTGACACCTTCCCACTGGGAGAGGCGTATTGCGAAGGATGAGTTGATGAGTACGTACAGTATTAGCATGGGCGTTACTGGTATGTACTACACTAATCTGACACTTGCAGCATTTCATTCCATGCCCTTCTACAGCGCAAATTTTACCATGGCAGAACCGATGAGTTGGGGGAAAGGATCTGAATGTGACTTACTTGAGGGTAAAAAGGATCCAGCAAAGACTAAATATTCCACTTTGTTTTGCAAGGATGATGATGCGAAGACACTGCGGTGTACCTCAGACCGTTTTGCCCTTGGTATGTGCTTAACGAAGAATAACCTTAAGGATTTACCCAATGGATACGAATATTTTAAGGACGAAGACGGAGGGTTGGAAACGAATGACTTGATGGATAGTTATCCAATCATTAAACCCTTAATTGGTACTACCTGTGAGGGTGGTAAAGAGACTCTGATACCTGGCAGCGTTCTGGGAACAGAATCACGGTGTCTGGATGTGAAAAATCCGCTGGACAAGAATGGAGTTAAAATTCAAGGCATTTGTGCAAAAGTGAAGTGTAATAATGAAACGAAGAAGGTGAGTGTACTAAAAGGGTACAAAGAAAATAAGGAGGAGTGGCATGAGTGCGCAAATGATGGCGATGAATTTCATCTGGTTGATTCAGAGTTCAATGAGGGAAGTGTTAACTGTCCCAAATACGAAGAAGTGTGCATTGGGTTGCTTGAAACTGAAGTTCCTACCAACATTAAGTTTCACAATGGTACAAAAGTTACTGATGTGTACGACGGTGATGTGAGTGGTGGGAATGAAGAAAAAGAAGAAGTGGTCGAAAATCAGGATCGCACAGACGAGGAAAAGCCACCCGCATCTCTCCCAACTGCTCCTAATGGTGATCTCGTGGAAAACGAAAAGGTGCCCACTGAAAATGGCAACAATGAAACAGTGACGGAGAAGGAACCAGAGGATACAGTGAGTAAACCACAAGTGCCACCCACTACGAGTGAAGAGAAGGATAACGAAAAGGTGCCCACTGAAAATGGCAGCGATGGAGCAGAGACGGAGAAGGAACCAGTGGGTACAACAAATACTTCAGAAGTGCCGCCCAATAGGGAGGAAGAGGAGGAGAAGGAAAATGAGAATAACGAGACTGTTGTGGCACCCGGTGGCGATGGAGCGACAACAGAAGAGGAGAGTGAGAAACATCCCACCGACAAACCAACCGGTCCCAGTGATGAATCTAATGAAAACGTCAGCAACAGTTCAAGTGGAGTTCCACCAAACACTGAAGATTTACCGCAAGGCGAGAGTCCACAGGAGACTGAAACTCCATCGAATGAGGTAGAGTCATCAAAGCCAGAATCCCCTGATAACAACGGCACAACTAATAATGGAAATGGACAAAATGATCATAACACGGGGAAGGACGCTGACAACAGCATCACTCTCTCGTTCTTTGAACCTCTTATGCTTCTTGTGTGTGTTGTTGCTGCGGTGGTGGCCCTGTGAGAGCCCCACGCGCGTATTCTAACCTATATAATACTATAATTTTTTTTTCAATTTATATACGCATAAACAATAATTGTTTCCCTTCCCTTCCCTTTTCTTTTTTTTTTTGGTTGGGCTCGAGACGGTCTTCACTTTATTTGTGAACGACTGCATAACTATTAATCTTTTCTGACTATATATATGTTTGTATCTATATATGGTTGTATATACACACTCCGTGTTTTTTTTTTCTGGGGATATTAATTCTTATACGCTACTTGTATATACCATGCCGCTTCACGGTACTCTGACTCGGGTGTACAAATGTACACACATACCGAGTGTAAAAAGAACTGGGAAGTGCATGCATGCGTCTTTTTTTAAAATTGACTGAGGGATTTTTCTAAATAATCCATTTCTCTGTAAATGGATTGGATGAGTGAATGCACGTTGGAGTACATGGATTACCTTTTCTGTGAGTATTGATACCTCTTGTGCTAGTGCATTTGGATGTATTCTTTTTTTTTTAATGTGTTGCTTTTTTTCTTTTTTGTGTTTCTCGTTGTTTTTCCCAAGTCTCTCAAGGATTCTATGTGATAGACACACTGAGAATGACATTATGTCGAACATTACCACTGTTTACGTCCTTTAGCTGTTGTGATTGGATTTGACTGCAGTAGGTGCCGCTGCTCTTGTTAATGTGTGTAGCCCTTGATATTGCATTTATCGTGTTGCCGTTGTTGGTGTTTCTGAGAGTATTCCTGTCAACGTATACATGTGTTTGATTCTCTGCTGGATTGAATATAATATGTATATTTCTGTTGGCATTCCGTATTTTATTTTGCTATTTGTTGCGTATGTTTTAGAAGTGCTTTCGCTCATCCATTGACGTCTAATTACAGCAGTAGTATACTATCGTATGGATATTACTGGTCTCATTTTGATTCCAGTTGTGTTGAGTTTATTACTTGAAGCTTGTAAAAGGGGATATGCACACCTAAGTGCTTTGGGGTATTAATGGTTAGAGGGTTGCGATAATTTATTTTTTTGCATGTAATCGTTTCCCTTGTTATGCGTTAAGCGCAATGGAATGGACGCTTATGAAATATGTAAATATTTGGCTTTTCTTTTTGCCATCTTTTTATTATTTGAAAGTACAATTTTGAATTTGTATTCCCATGATCAGTGAAGTGATTTGGGTTTGTATTTTTTGAAAGGGGTTGGGTAAATCTAAATCGGCCCACGAAGGTTGTTTTTACCGTTATGTTGATTGTGATATATATATATTTTACCTATTGTGAGACCTTTGTTCATAATTTAATATTCTTCAGGGTTCTTGATTGTAGGATACTATGCAATGGATGTCATGGTTTAATTTATTGTATGCCTGTTTGGGTTATGGATTTGCAAACGGATGATTGCCCACAACTCAGAGCAGAATTTTCATGTCTGTTCCCCTTTTCTTGTGTTAAACATATTGTGTGTGTGTGTGTGTGTGTGGGTAAGGTGTACTTGTCACTCAGTGTTATCTTTTCAAGAGGGATTATGCTAATGTATCCCAGGAATTCCAACAAAAGTGGTATTTGCTTATATCAGTGAGTTTCCCTTTTTTCCAAGTGGTATACTCTCTCCCGATGCTTAGTGGTTCAATGATAGATTATGCAGAGCCGTGACTTTAGCCATTGTGGGAATGTCTGCAGTTGTTAAAAACCGAATGGGATAGTTTCAAAACCATTGGTTTTGTGTTTGGAAGTGTGGATGGATAATATCTGTATTAATTGGGTAATAAAAATGAGGTTATTTGTTTGGGAGTGTGAAAGGGGAGAAATTTGGGTAAAAAAGATTGTAATGCGATGATGGTTGAGTTTGTCTCTGGATCCACCCGTTACATTTTCTTGGGAGTCCATTTCCATCACAATTCCCACTTGACTGCACGGAGCAGCAGATGTAACTGTAAATTATACAAGACATGCATCCAGTGAAAGATGGAACTGTTTTAGAGTGGGAAATGGATGGAATGTCGATCTCTACATGCAGCAATGATACTTGTGGTTCATTTCGCTATTTACCACTTTTTTTTTATTTATTTCTTTGGAACGATTCCTTGACAACTTTTTCTTCTACCATTCTTGAGTAGGGGTGTAGATTGTTGCGTACACTTCTCCCTCATAATAAACACATTATCATCAAGGAAGAGGTTGATGTTCTCTGCCATATTAATTACATGCACCTCATTGATAGGTATGTGTGGAAGGGAGTGTATTATTTCTCAGGAACTGTAAAGATTAAAGTCACCATTGGAGTCAGTTGCCAACTCCATACCATGCATATGGAAACAAGGACGGTAATGGTTTCCGCCATTTTTTGATATTTGTGTATCACTTGCTTTTGCACATTAAAGTGTACAATTAACAATACATGGTTGCAATGGTGATTCTTAAAAAAATAATAAATAACGGCAGTGTGAAATCCTTTGTTTTATCATGGGAATTGGATTTGGATGTTGCGAATCCTGGACTCTTCTGACGTGCAGATTTCATTCTCTTATGGGCGTTTCTGTGATAACCCAGTGGACGGTGTTTGTCGTGTGGGACTCTCGTGATAGTGACGTGGGTGTCCTTATTGCACTATATGTATATATATTTTATAAAATTTGAATTTCAACGAAACGAAATAAAAGAAACAGAACAAAATGATAATTATTTTATGCGCATGGGGCACATTTCCTTTTATTTTTATTTTTCAATCCAAAGTGTTTAATGACATTTATGGGAAATTCTAAAATTGAAGTTAAAATGTTAAATTCTACAACCATATTTGACTTAAAAAAAAAAACAACATCAACGTAAAAATGGTACACAGTGTCTTGGATGACACCAGAGAAATGTTAACTAAACAGTGAAGGAAAAAGTGAAAGATACATCTTGGAAAGGAGAAAAAAAAGGGAATAAATCAGGGAAGAGAATGGGACAATAATGATAACCCTCTGGTGCATGAATTCACACGCGATAAATGGGTTTGAATATTTGACAGTCATCTTTATTTGTGTGTGTGTTTTTTTTTTTTCTTGTCTTCTTTCTCTTTTCCACCCTTCTTGATTGGATCTTTTTTTTTTCTTCATTTTGTGGTAGACTAGCTGAGAGAACGACCAATCAGACAATAAGTTCCTTAAAAAGAACAATGCGCATTATATCATCTACATGGTGTGTGCTGCTGCTGCTGCTAGCGATTGCGGTTACCGCGTCGCATGAGCCGCGCTTCCACGTGCGTCCGCCCACCAATTGGGTCAGCGGCCCCAACGGGCCTTACCGTGACCCCGTCACAAAACAGATGCACCTGTACATGCGGTGCAACCCGTACGACTCGGTGTGGGGAAGTATAAATTGGTACCACTTCACCTCGATGGACTATGTGAAGTGGCAGGATCAAGGCATTGCACTAAAGAACGATAATGAATACGATCGCAGAGGTGCGTACAGTGGAACCATCACGCAGGGCGCTGATGGAACACCCGTGCTGATGTATACGTGTGCTGCAGATGGTGACGTGCAGCGACAATGCATTGCTTTACCACCCAAGGAAGATGTCCAATCTGATGGCAAACGTTCACTCAACTCGTTTGTAAAGCTTCCTACAAATCCTGTATTGACAGAGAATGATGTGCCTGGTCTTGTTGGGCTGAACCACTTTCGTGACCCCACAAACTTCTGGGTGAACCCTGATAACACATCAGAGTGGCTGGTGGCTTTCGCAGCCAGTGTTAAAAATTCAGCTGGTGTACCTGAAGCGCAGGTTGTTGTTTTCGCTACCGGTGATATAAAACTCACTTCAGACTTCCGATTCTCACATGCCATTTGGGAAAATTCATTCGAAATGAATAACATGATTGAACATCCAGAATTTTTCCAACTGGAAGAAGACGAATACTACTTGAAGGTGTCAACAATGATCAGTGGTCAGGACTATTGGGTGTATGGTAACTATACGAAGAATCCTGATAATAAAACGATCTACCTCGAGGACTTTGCTCGCGGCCGGACATACATCGACTACGGCAGATGGTATGCATCCAAGCAGAATTATGATCCCATTCTCAAACGCACTATATTGTGGGGTTGGATCCCTGAAGAGGACACGGAAGCTGCAATGAAGACTCTTGGGTGGTCTGGTGCAATGGACATGCCTCGTAACGTCGAGTACGATTATACGGCCAAAAAGTTAAAAACCTACCCCATGCCGGAGCTCACCCTCTTGCGTCTCTCTGGTACAACGGGTGATGTTGAAATCGGGGTGAACGAGGTAAAAGTGTATAACGCCAACGCCCCGCTGCACTATGAAATGGAGGTGGATTTTGTAATACCTGAGGGATTCACCAACAAACCAGCGGAGAACACAGACGACGTCCCATCCTTTGGTGTACTCGTACGCTACAAGGATAGCAACACATACACTCGATTCGCTGTGACGATGCCTCCGACTGCAAATATGGGTGCGGGGTTTGATCAAAAAGGAAAGGTGTTGGCCGTGCACGAGTATGGAGACCAGGAGTCGTGCGCATTACATTGTCAATCAGATCGTCGTTGTGTCGCATGGACGGTGGTAAATGCAACAGA